GAAATTTTACAAGGAAAAGTTCTTTTTTAACAGCATTTACAAAAAACTTATACAATTTGCAAGATGGTTGTTTACTTTTAGGCAGAGACTCCCAATAAATAACAATTTTTATAATAGATGGCCAAATACTAATTAATCTATCCACTACCTTTTTGTCCTCAACCCATCTGGTTACGTAAAATGAAAGCGGGAACACAGAACCTTCAGTGATAAAATCACTTCTTCTGGCAGGAGAATCATGAAATAAGGTAAAGCAGCTTTTGAATATTTTTTTAAGTTCCCAATCAGTTGATTCTACTCCTGTTTTGAAAGCACCATGAACTATGTGTTCGGAACAGCAGCTATGTCAATAAGTTTAGATTATTTGTGCTTTTCACGTTTGCTTTGAAATTTCTCTGTGAAATTTCAAGTTGACACTGGGTCCATCCATAGAGACCCGAACAATTTTGCTGATATTAAGATTACTTAACTTTTCATTAAAATGATTTACCAAATCAAGACTAGTACTATGTCCCATAAACAAGGAATCCCAATACCTCACTTCAACTTGCATTTTTTCCTCATTCCAATACCGGATGAGTAAATCCATTTGACAAGTTTAAGTTTTTTTGTTGAGGAATTCATCAAAGGATACGACAAGCCAAGGAGACAGGCTCAGTTGTTGTTAAAGTAAACTTTTAAAATAAGGCCCAAGACCATGAGTGATGCTATATCCAACTTTATTTAGTTGCATTTGAAAAGATTTAGCAATCTCACTGTCAGGAAACATTGCTTGAAACAAAAAATGTCACATCTTTGTTTGAATTGTTAGAAATTCTATTTAAGCAACAATGCAATGCCCACATAATTTCTGCAAAGATTTTATTAGAATTTGATACGATGAGTTATTAAGGTTGCTGTTTCATTTGTCCTGTTGAGAAACTATCAGTTGTCTTTAAATTAGACTCTTCTACTGAATTAGGTGAATTAGTATTTTTAGAGGCAGATGATTTAAAAAAACAAGAGAAATTGCTTGCATCTAAAACATGTTTTTTTCCTTTATCGTGACTTTTTATTGCTTGAATACCCATGTTTGAAAGTTCAATTATTTTATTGCATAATTTGCATCTTGCCTGGGTGTATTTTTCCCTTTCATTAGCCAAGAGTCAAAATGAGGGTAAATGTCTTTATTTAACCATTCTTCTTTAAAATAAGCTTTTTTTTTCTATTTTATTCATTATTTTAATTCTAAAAATAGAAACAAAATACTTCAAAATTATTTATATTTATAACATAAGGCACTGTAACAAATTTCATTGTTTTAACTTTAAAAAGCATTTTTCATTTTAAAAATTCATTTTCATAAGAATTTTAATCTAATAGTCATTGTAATGCTTATAGAAACCAATACTTTTTTTATAAAAACTTTTCAAAAAAAGTTTTCAACAAAGTTGAAAATCTTTGAAACTTTCTGTAACTTATGTAACTTAAAATAAAAAAAGTTTTTCGCTTTAAAGACACAAAAATGTTTAAAGTTAAAGATGCTGTTGTTTATAGAATAAATTACAGAAATAGTTTTAAACGATTGAAATTGATCATAAAAAATTAGTTTTTTATAATTAAAAAAAAAAGGAATTATTTTTTTTATAATAAATAAAAAAAAAGAAACACACTATTATTGTAAAAATAAAATAATAACCATAGATAATTTAAATAAAATATTTTTATTGATTAATATTTTAAAACACTTGTTAGTAATAAGAGCGTTTTGCATAATAAAAATACAAATAAAATATTATATGCGTGGTCATATAAAGGTATTTTTTAATTGTCAAAATAAACGGGAAGCATAAAACAGAAACATAATAGCTTAATTGTAAAACGAGTAGTTTCTCAATCAGAATTCCCTGACTTTTCCCTGACTACCTAAAAAAAAAAATTGTCCTGACTTTTCCAGGTTTTCCATGACTTTAGCCAAATTTGGCTGATTTTCCAGGTTTTCCAGGTTCAGTACAAACCCTGATTATATATATATATATATATATATATATATATATATATATATATATATATATATATATATATATATATATATATATATATATATATATATATATATATATATATATATATATATATATATATATATATAACAAATTTTAATATTTGAAATTGTCAAATAATGTTGGAGTTTAAGGGATATCATGTTGATGTCATGTTGGCAATCTTAAAAAAATTAATTCTGTATATAAATTTCTTTTCTCTTCTCTGCTGATATTTTCATTATTTTAATCTCTATGCAATTACATTTTAAAACGAAGAAAAAAAAAAACTAACTTAATAGAAAAATACTTTACCGAAAAATATTTTACTCTATAACTCCGAAACACAAACCTGAACATACAAAGCCTGGATTCGTTGGAAATAGTCTAGATAATAATTCTTTGGCAGTTTTTTGAAGTTCAGACTTTTTGAAGACATTTTGAAAACTCTATGTTCTTCAATATTAGATAAACATTCTGGATTAGAAAAGTATCTGTATAAGCTTACAATATTGCTTCGCCTTCTTTCTTCAAAACGTCTCAAAATTCCAATCTTCATTGCAATGCAAAGAGTTGAATCTCGTTGTTTCAGTCTGTTTACAAGAAACTTGAAAATTCCCTCAGCAGTAAGAAGAGTTGCATCCTGTCGGCAAAGGGCTTCTGCTGTCAATTTGACTGGTTCAAGAGCAGCAACAATGTCATATAAAATGTTTACTTCATCATCACTGCAAAAAAAAAAGTATGGAGAAATGTCTTTCAATGTTTTTAAGAGTGAACCTTTAACTTTGAGAAACTGCTGAATCATGGACAGTAAACTGTTCCACTTTGTTCTGCAGTCAAGGATAAGTGAAACCTCTTTTCCGTGTTGTTTTTCGATTTATTTTTGGAGGCATCATTTTTGACTGGAGATTTTCGAAACAACTTTACAGTTTTTCAGACTTTTATGATGACAGATTGCAAGTACACTTTCAGTTTTGGAATGGGAATGTTTTTATCCACAGCAGCATCAAGAAAACTGACTTGGGTGTTAGATTTTTATTCCTCAATGCTGACTTCATCTTTATTGCTTGTTACTTGTAATGTGTTGTTATCGATTTTTTGGAAAAACATCTCATACAGTACTTCTTGAATTGCCAAATGATTTCCATGGGTGTAACATGTTTGATGCTCAGTTGAAACCAGTTTTATAAACTTAACCATCATGGAAGCTCCATCCGTAACTGCGCAGACAATACTGTCGCTAATGTTCAACCCAAATTCAGCCACTTTTTCTGTGACAACTGCTGCAGCTTTTTTAACTGGCAGTGATCCAGAAATTTGATTCAAGCCCAGATTCCAGTATGTGTATGATGAATAATAATATTCATATACCTTCGATTTTTCAAAGAAGTGTTCTCATCCAGTGTGATTGAAAAACAATTTCCATTGGTCTTTAAATAGTTGAAAGTGTTTTTAAGATCATATTTCACGCCAGCTGCAAACATTTTAACTGATTGGATTGCTTGCTTGTGATTTTTTGGAAAATCATAACCTTTTTCACACATGGCAGATTGAATAAAAGAGCTGTTAACAATCGTGTGGAAACTAAATCCATCCAGTGTTGTAAATCTTGAAATCACTTCTTCAATATGTTGCTACAAAAGCCTAAGGTTTTAACAAAAAAGTTAAAACCTTAGGCTTTTGTTGTCAGCTTTTCCTGTATTTCTTTTTTGATTCAATATTTTTTGGCTAGGTGATACCACATTTCATTTGTGGAACTTGAGTATTTACTGGTATTTCCACAAATTTTGCAAGACACTGCTTTTCCTTTGTTTGAGGTGCAGTGTTTCCAAATGTCTGACATTTTGAACGAAAGCAAATCAAATTGATTGATAAATGCAGCAATAAATATATCACAAGAAAGTAGTAATGTCTGTATTAAAATGCTCAGACAAAACTTGACCAACAGAATTAGTTTCCAACAGCTTAGTTGATACGAAAGTGATTATTAAAATTTTAGTTTATTCAATAAGCTATTTCGAAAAAAATAAATCTTTATTTTTGTCTTGACAACTGGCAAAATATGCTTTGTCTAATAAATAATTCTCCACGATGTAAACAGGCTGTATGTGCTTAAGGGTGTATAGGTGTAATGCATAAGTCTGTGCTGTTTATGTCATTCAGTAGAGTCTTGTATTGTTAGTAACCAGCGTAAAAGATTTGTCTATGAACCAAACCAAGCCAGCCCAGCCATACCCCAGAAAACCATGATGGATTAAACACCTATGCATGGATTTAGAACTGACTTGCCCATAAAAAATCAGGAAAGTGATTATTAAAGATTTAATTTATTGATTAAGCTATTTCAGACTTTTTAAAATATTTTAAAGCATTTTTGAGCATAATAATTCTGATTACCAACTTCGTTTTTTTAGATTTTTACTATAGAGACAAACAAATAAACGAGGTGGAGGAGTTTTACGTAAAGAGAGAAGATTTATGTAATGGAAAATACTATACATAACATTATGAATGATATGTGGGTTTCTGACAGTGATTAGGAAATCATAACAAAATTTTAAAGGATAGAAAAATTAAAACTCTATTAGGTGCGGCTGAAAATCTTAACATCTTTTACAGCAAAATATTATTCACAAAGGTAGCAAAGAAAAGAAAATTAAATTCATAATTGGGGATTCTAAATTCTAAATGAATTGTTTAATTTATAGTATAGTAAAAGTCGAAATTTTACCAACATAGTTTTACTGGTAAATTGGTAAAACAATTTTACTGATTTACCGGTAAATTTTTGATAAAAGCTCAACCCTATACACTATTATCGCATAAACTTGATTTGTTTTGTTATTGTCATTTGATGTTTGTCAGCATTTAAAAGATGTAAAAACCATTTGTTAGCCAATAGGAGAAGCCTTGAGGTGTATCATAATATTCTTTCAATAGAAAACAAGTTATTAATTGGGTGTGTTATTGCTATATTACCTTTTTGGACTGTTGGTATCATAGTCTTTGTCAAGTAGTTTCTTTAACTTCAATGATGCTTCAGTAAAATTATTTAAAGCGTCACGTATATGAACTAGGGGAAAAAAAGTTAAAATTATAAGAAATTTATGAATTTAGGATTCATGAATTCAGAATTCACGTAATATTTTAAAGTATTATTTTGTGAAACAAAGTAAATTTTAAAGAATTTAATAAATACCTGCTTTAAGTGATGGAGCAACTTTTCTGAGTTCTTCCTGTAATAAAGAGTATTTTTCATCTAAAGTTTCTTTTAGTGATAATGGATTAAATGGTATTATTGGAGAATTGGACAATTTTAGAAGAACATGCATTACAGCTTGAGAAACAGCTAGGTGAATTTTGTACCCAGGATCTGTAAAGTTCTCCATCCACAACAAAGTATCATCTTCGGTATGATATGTAGGATAAAATTCTCCTACAGGACCCTTTTAATAAAATAACTTAAAGATTATTACTGAAAACATCAACTAAAGAAAATCAATAAAATCAGCTCACAAATGTGCATACCTTCGTTAGTCTTTTTTTAGTAATTAATTTGAATTGATTATTAAGTTAGACTTGATTATCATTTGAATCAATGATTTAAATAGAATTTTGCAATAATTTACTCCCTAATTTTGCAGTTTATGAAATTTGTTACTAAAATTAGTCATTATCCAATTATTATAAGTCTCTCGTATAATGTAACTATGCAAGTTTGTATTATACGCATCCAAGTAAAAGCTTTATTTCAAAGAACTAAGTAATTTTTATAAATAACAATATTGCTGCTAACAATTGGTTTAACAACTACACTATAGTATTTATCAGACTATGTTACAGAAAAAATCTGTTTCGAATAAATTATGGTCTTTTACCTATACTTTTAAGACATTTTGAAATAATCACATTATTTTTATATGATTTTGTCCGTATTTATGATGAAGGAAATTCTGCAACTTTAAGTACAGCCTCAAATTTTACTTTTAGTATAGCCTCTAATTTACAGAGTGCCATTTATATTTTTCACGAAGAGAAATTATACATTTATATAATTTCAAGATAGAGATTTTAATATATTTATACTTGTTTTACTGGAAGTTGTATGTTTAAGTACTGAATGTTTTTAAAAAAGTACATTCACAAAAAATTCTATTTAATTAAAATTTCTCTTAGATTAAAAATTCTGTTATAAACAAATATAGATATTTTATAATGATAGGTATTTCTGAAAATTAATTTTTAGAAAAAGGTTTTTATAACATATAAAAGGATTTATATGGTATAAAAACCATTTCTTATGAATTGAATTTTTTAAAGTTTATATTATTTAGTGTTACGCTTTTATAGTATATAAAAAAAACACTGAACAATATAAACTTTAAAAAATTTAATTCTTAAGAAAAAAATCTTAAAGCATTGTAAGTAAATAAAACATAATTTACTTATAAGTCAAGTTTTATTTACAATTTTATTTAGAAATTGAATTTGCGATTGACAGTGTATTTATTTGAGATTATTTATTTGTTTTATATATATATATATATATATATATATATATATATATATATATATATATATATATATATATATATATATATATATATATATATATATATATATATATATAAATTTACATTACTTATGTAAAACTTTATACATAACAAGGCTTACTATCAAGTAAACTTGATATTAAACATAAGTTGAACATTTTAACACCTAGTGCAATATTGTCTGCTATCTCTTGCCAAATTTATAACTCTTGTAACTTTCTCTCATATCCTTCTAACATTCTTCTAAATATCTAACTTCTTCTAAAAATCTAACTTCTAAAATTCTAAGATTCTTCTAAAAATCACTTACTCTTGGTCTGCGAAAGGGGGTTTGATGTTCTTTAGTGAGCAGAACTCGTCTTTTGGGCCTGGAAGATAAACGCTTGGAAAAAAGGTATATATTAAATAAAATAGTATGTTAGATGTATTTTCATATTTATTTTTTTGTAGTCTTTTTAAAAAAGTTCTCTTAAATATTATTCTCGTTTTCTGATCTAAATTTAAACTATTTAAAATTGTAGTTTTTGATAAAGTTATCTGTAAACTAGAAATTTTGATGTTAATAACATGTGATAACTAAAAATCTGGACAAAATTAGAAGTTGTATAATTTTTTAACGGAATGATCAGTTTTAAAAATTTAAAAAGTATAATAACAAAAAATGTCTTATTAAAAAAATATATAACTTTTTTAAGTTTTTCATGCTAAGAAGATTAACAGTGTCTACTCTTGTAAATGTTGCGGCAGCTAGCCGATGTACACGCTCTATGTTGATTTTCTTAATTGAAAACTAGATCTCCTTTTTAAATTTACTAAGATTTTTAGCTTGATAATTTTTATTATACACTAACCTCTTAAGTTCAGACCAAAAATCTCCCATTGGAAGTAATGCTGGCACATTAGCAGGGTTATGCTCTTTTGGTACAAATTCAATATTTTTAGCTTTTAGATAACCTTGCACTTTAGGTGAATATTGTGACAAAGCTAGATCAGACCAAAAGACAATATTGTCATTTTTATAATGTTTTTCAATGAATTTCTCTAATCTAACAAGACATTTTGAAATATACACAACTTCATTGACTGCTTGACAGACCAATGTACTGCTGAGAGATTCCTTTCATCGAGTATGCAATCCAAACAAGTAATTTTGACTCAAATTTGTCTTTATTTGTCAAATTTGTCTTTACATAAATACAGAATCATTTGATTCTGTATTTATGTCAGAAGAATAGAATCCAACATTTCCGGAAATATTGGTGTTGCTCAAATAAAAATACGATTCATTGTCATTAATAACTACTTTTTCCTAAAAATTGAAACCAATCTATGGCACTTTGAACGAACAGCTGCTTTTTAAGCTGGTGCTCTTTTAGGTGCTTTAGTTTTTTTAAGATAACGATTACTAGTTTTTATGTAAATAATTTTGCATATGTATGGTTGTGATACATGGTATCATCTTGCAAAACCACGCTGTGAAATACGATCTTTTTGATCAATAGATTTTTAAAGACGCTATATCTCTTTTGCAGACATCTTTTTTATTTTGCGACCACTTCCAACTTTTCTTTCTGGTCCTATATTATTCTCCTTTCTTTAAAGTATATAATAAATAGTAGATATTGGTATGTTCTCAATTCGAAAATGATTTACAATAAAGCTTTTATTCTTATCTGGATGCAAATGCAAAAAATGCATACACTCATTTTCTAAGGGAGTTGTCTTACAAGTTTTTTTTTTCATTTTTAATTATTACTTTTTTTTTAATAATACAATTAAAGAATTGAATTTGTAACAAAATAGAAGTGATTGCAAGTATATTAAATTATTCCTTCATATTTTAATATTTACTCAAACTTTGTCCAGATTTTTAGTTATCACATGTTAATTTAATTATTTATTTGTATTTATATATAATATATATTATATTAACTTTAATTATAACTTTTAAAATGAAATACTACTATTGAAAATTTCCCTCAAGTTCATACTTAGGTTTCGGCTTCAACCCAACCTTGACTTTCGAATGTACCTTCATCTAGACCTTCCAGTCCTATGTTGGACAATTGGATATATGTTTTCAAAGTTCCATGGAAAAGCTGCTAGCTGAAATCATGAATTTACCCCACAAAAATACTCCCCTTTTGCCAAAACACAAAAGTACAATGATCAGGGTCATTTGTGAATATATACACTTTTATACTTGTTTATAAAAAATCTATAAAAATTCATAGCTTTTTCATATTACCTGAAATCTATTCTCTAACTTTATCTACTTCTACCTAGAAAGTGACCAGGGTTAATATATAATGGGGCCAGGGTCAAGTTTGATAAAATATAGCCGGGGCCTGATTTATGACTGGGGCTGCATAAATATTCATAAATCATAAAGTTTTTTTTTTAATTCAAAATTCATGATACATTTTGTATATATATATGCATTCAAAAACATCATTATAATCAACATGATCATCATAATCATCATCATCGCCATCAGCAGCATAAAAGAGGAAGGCTAAAACTTGATGATGATGATGATGATCATCATCATCATCATCATCATCATCGTCATCATCATCATCAGGCCTCATCTTTAGCCTTTCCCCTTAATGCTGTTTATTGAATATAAACAACCTATAGCATTTTTTTTCCTAACTAGAGCTCATTCATACAATATATAAGGCACTTTCTTCAAATTTGATTACTTCTACCACTACCATTTTCTACTGAAGCTGCTACCACTCTACATGCTGATACCTAAATTACGTTAATCTTTTCTAACAAACATTGTTTGATACAACATTTTTTCTAATCCGTCTAAGATTATGCTTTTCTTGTCTTGTTAAAGTCATACTACACATTTATCTAACAATCTTCTCTTTATCTAACAATCTTCTCTTTATCTAACAATCTTCTCTTTATCTAACAATCTTCTCTTTATCTAACAATCTTCTCTTTATCTAACAATCTTCTCTTTATCTAACAATCTTCTCTTTATCTAACCATCTTCTCTTTATCTAACAATCTTCTCTTTAGACAAATACTACACCATTTTAATACTAAATCTTCTCTTTATCTAACCATCTTCTCTTTATCTAACAATCTTCTCTTTATCTAACCATCTTCTCTTTATCTAACCATCTTCTCTTTATCTAACAATCTTCTCTTTATCTAACAATCTTCTCTTTATCTAACAATCTTCTCTTTATCTAACCATCTTCTCTTTATCTAACAATCTCCTCTTTAGACAAATACTACATCATTTAAATACTAAATCTTCTCTTTATCTAACCATCTTCTCTTTATCTAACAATCTTCTCTTTATCTAACAATCTTCTCTTTATCTAACCATCTTCTCTTTATCTAACCATCTTCTCTTTATCTAACAATCTTCTCTTTAGGCAAATACTACACCATTTAAATACTAAAGTTTATATAACACATAAAGGATATTGTATGCCAGCACCTGAATAAATAGCAAACAGATATGTTTATATCCATAATATGTATCCATAAAATGCATCTTGGAAACTTTTATTCCTTCTGGAATAAAGTTTTAAAGCTTCAAATAATAAATCTATTAATTAATGTTTATGTGGAAAACATTAAGCAGTAATTATTTTTGTAAAAAACATTTTCACCGCAATTTTGAAATAATTTTTTTGATAACAAAACAGATAGAATATTTTTTTTTACTTTTAATTTAAATGTATTTTATTATATTTAAATATTTATTATATTCAAATATTATATTTAAATATTTATTATATTTAAATATTATATTTAAATATTTATTATATTCAAATATTACATTTAAATATTTATTATATTCAAATATTATATTTAAATATTTATTATATTTAAATATTTATTATATTCAAATATTACATTTAAATATTTATTACATTCAAATATTATATTTAAACATGTATTATATTCAAATATTATATTTAAATATTTATTATATTTAAATATTATATTTAAATATTTATTATATTTAAATGTTATATTTAAATCAAATTTGTTATTAAAGTAAAAGTATAAAAATTTAATAAAATAAATTATTAAAAATTGTTTTACTAATTTTAATTTTAATTTTTTTAAAAACCTAAAATTCTCAGTTTTACAATTTCTTTTTTTTTAATTTCGAAACATATTAAACAAAATTGTTTTTATCAAATTTAATTTTGGTTACCTTTTTATTCCTTTTTTTCAATTTTAAGTCATGCCTCATTCTACTTCACATTTTTCAACATTATTAATTTTTTTTCATCTTTTTTACAAGAACATCTCTATAAAGAACAAATGCCCTTTTGTTATTGCAAGAAGCTAATGTAAAAAAAGCCTTGTCTGATATTAAGCTCTGTTACTCTAAGTACTAAATACTCATACTAAATCTTGTATCTTATCTAAAATGTTATGTTCTAGATACTTTGGTCTTCAACATTGTCATTAATTAAAGTAAGCCTAACATTTAATCTCTAGTTCATGTGTCTGATCTTTTTACTTCTCACCAGAATAAAGCAGAGTTTTTGCAAAAAAATCTTAATCTAATTTGACTCTTGAATATAATGGCCATACTCTTCCTGACAGTTAAACAGATTAACCCATTGTTAAACATCGAAATCACTCTAGCTTCCAATACTAATATTAATTCACAGTTAAACACTTCTACAGTTTGTGCTCTAAATAAGTAATTTAATTTGCTCTAAATAAGTATTTGGAGCACAAACAAAAAAATATATTTCCATCATAGTCTTAAAAAGTGAAATCAGTAGCAAAGGTCTTCAAGAATAACTTTGCAGTAGCAAAGTTATTCTTGAAGACCTACCCTCTTCTTTATATCAAGTAACTTTAAGGGTACCACAAGGTTCTATCTTCACTCCTGTATTATTTCTTATCTACAATAACGATCTTCATGAAATCTAAATTGGCTCTATTTGCTGACAACCCAATTTTATCTCGTCTTGACAAAAAATCTTTACTTTTTGATTGCAAAAAATCTTTACTTTTAGAACAAGCAGCCAATTTTAGATCTGATCTCTCTTCTGTAACAGCCTAAGTCTTGCAGTGGCTTAAGGATTTAAATTCTGGACTAAAAATCCACAATTTCTGTTTGACAACAAAATTCATTTATTTACTGCAAAAAATTATTGCAATATTGTTGGCATTGCTCTATTGACAAATAAAAACCCTCATACTCTCAGACAAAGTTTTAAAAGCACATTGTAATTGTAACTAGGTAAAAAATTTGGGATTGATAAAAATTTTTATAGCATAATGGGACAGATACAACAATGGGAGAGTGGCTCAAGCTTGGCAGATAACTATGTCTTGAACAATAAAAAAATCTAATAACTTTTATGAATTTTCATGCTTTTCTTTTTTATACAACTTACAACATTTTAAGCCTTTATTTATAAGTTTCCTAGTATTTTAACTTTTTCTCTATTTTAAAGTAACTCATAACTTAATGGTGGTTGCTTGCAATCTTGTAGGAAGAAAACTAGAGTTTAAAAATAAATAAATGTATTCCAGTATTTAATAAAAAGTAAATGCAAGCATTAAATTATATTGTATTAAGTATTATAAATTTTTTTCTAGTCCTGGCAATCAACCCCTGCTAAATCTAATAATTTTGCCAGGGCCGAGGCTGCAAAAACTCTAATTTTTAGCTGGGGTTACTTCTACCCTACACCTTCTTTTAAATCTCTAACTGTACGCTCTACATGCTCGCTCTACATACAATCTTTAAATATCTTCAAAAAAAATAAAAAAAGTTTCTTTTCTTTATTTTTACTGTAAATAATGATTTATTTATCTGATTTAATTATTATGCAATGTATCGAAATTATTATGCAATGTTTCGAAATGAATCGAAAAAAAACCCTGCTAAAACAGAGTATGTCGGGCCTAACTCAAAAGTTTGTAAACAAACTAGCACTGTTTAAACAGACAGACCATCTATAAATCAAAAGATGTTTTGTTTATATTATAAAATAGTATAATTTGTCATTATAAAATAATATTTATCATAAATATTATATAATTAATAAAGTATATATATGATAACTATTATAATATATATGATAACTACTATAATAAATTTGTTTATATTTATTATAACTACTATTACTATAATAAGTATTTCATCAACATATGAGGAGTCTAAGTAAATTGAATTTAACAAGTAAAAATTGAGCATAGTTGTGCATCAACTGAAAATGATATATTTTAATTGATTGGATATAATTTATTTAACTTTTAAAAAATATTTAAATTGATTATGGATTTCAATGTGTAGATTATGGAAATGGAAACTCAAAAAAATTATTTTTGTGACTTAGCGCATTTTGTATTTGGTCTATATGATTAAAATAGATTTCCTTAAATGTTTTGTAAGTGGATAAAGTACTCAAAACTAACAACATAAAAAAACTCAAAACTGAGTTTTTTTATGCTGTTTGATGTGTATTATATTATAACTTTTAATCATCTCACAAGTAGTTTCTTAATAGTAGAATTACATTTTCATAACAACATAAATTCTATTCATTTAATTTTCATTTTTGCGTTAACTCTGTAAAATGAATTAAATAACTGTCTATTTGCTGAATTAACTGAGTTTTTTTGTTAATTTGACAATGCTGCCGGACTTTCTCTGTTGAATCTACGGTGAATTTTTTAACAGTGTAGTCAAACAACCAGCATCACAAGCTAACAACTAATTTACTTAGTTAAAAAGTAGTTACAAATTTAGAAGTTCAAAATTTAGAAGTTCAAAATTTAGAAGTTAAAAATTTAGAAGTTCAAAATTTAGAAGTTCAAAATTTAGAAGTTCAAAATTTAGAAGTTCAAAATTTAGAAGTTAAAAATAAAAAATACTTATTTTGATTGAATATTATTAAATTAAAAAATTTAATTTTTAAAATAAATAATTTTTTTGTTAAATTAAAATATTTATTAGATGAGTTGTTAGGTTAGTAGATTAATTATTAAATAAATTACACATTTAATAAGAAACAAAGGAACTTTTATTCCTTACAAAACTAAAATCAGCACAAGTAACACCAGCAATTGAGTAAAACGGAGCATAGTCACTCCCTGATGCAAGACCATCATATCTAAACAATTTTTAACAAAAAGTAAAATAAAAAACTGTATTAATTTAAAATAAAATAAAATGTATTGAATAACAACATTTTTAACAAAAATTATAATTATAATAAAAGTTAAAAAATTATAACAAAAAAAAAACAACAACTATTACTCTTATAAATTATTAAAATATTACTAAAAAAAAAATTAAAAATGAAAATTAAATAATAACTTTGGTCGGTCTTGATTTTTCTTATCTGGATTAACTACAACCATATCTTCAAAAAGTGTTTTTTTCTGATGAGGATGTTGTACCTGAAATAAGTCAATCACTTTATTTTTTTATTTTCGATATATAATTGCCATCAATAAGAACTTGTTATAAGCACAGAATTGTTGTGAGAACTGGGTTGTTGGGTTGTAAGAATTGTATTGTCAGTAGTTGGTTAATTTTTTGAAAAGTTTCTTTTTTTATTAATATTTTTTTATAAACATTTTTGTTACAGCAATAATATACTAAACATAAGTACAACACATATGTACCTAACATTATATATGTTTAGCAGTGGTTTAAATAGATAATTTATAATATAGTACCAGTTAAATAAAAAATTTTTATGTTTCATAGAGAATTAAGAACTTTGTTTACAAAAAAAAAGAGGATTTTAAGTAGTAATAAGAAAAAAATAAAAAAAAATAAATGAAATTAAAAAAAAAAAAGATATATATAATTACACAAAAAGGATTATAGATTTACAATAGTTACAGAGAATAAAAAAATTTACCATAATTATGCTAAAAAGAATCATAACTTATACAAACATTTTTAGGGGCTATAATTTTTTTTTTTTTTTTTGAATATGAAATCGTATGCAGAGAGTTGCAGATTTTAACAAACAAAAATAATACAAAATAGAAAAATATCCCTATTGATGCGAAACACATCCCTAATGATGTGAAACATATCCCTTATGATGCAAAACACACCCCTAATGATGTGAAGCTTTTAAAAATATTAAATTTTGTTAATTAACTTTGTTAAAAAACATAAAAAAAATTTAAATATTAAAAAAAATAAAACAATTTATTTTAAATAAATCTTAATAATGATTAAAATTAATACCAGCTTCGCAGCTTGAAAAACAACATCTCTCAAAAGTCCCGATCCTTCAACTTGAAATGTTCCATTTCCTTGCAAAATAAAAATAAAATAACTTGAAATGTTCTGGTTCATTACAAACCAAAAATAAAATATTCCAAAATGTTCTATTTCCGTGCAAAATAAATATAAAATAACTTTTTTTTTAATTTTTATTTTAGGTGCCCAAAGAAGTCTTTATGGACTTATCACACAACACCGGGAATGAGCATTTAATTGGAAGTTCACACCTCCTTCCTAACCAATGTCGCAAAACTTTCCCAGAAGTGGGGTTTGAACCACGGATCATTTGCTTGAGACAAGTGTGCAACCACTGCGCCACGACTGCTCAATAGGGTTATGACGTTTTGACGTTTTTTGAAAAAAAATATTAATTAATCTTCTGTCATAAATCAATAAACTTTTATTAGAAAACATGTTCAATTCCTCTCGATTGTAAAAAAAGGTCACCCCACAATTCAAATTACGTTTTATCACTTATATAATCTTGTTACTGCTACTACTAATAGGTGCTACTTTTCTGTGAATCATTTAAAACTTGTATAGATTAGAAGTGTTTAGAACTTTAGAATATTTTGGAAAATAACAGAACATTTTAGAAGATTTTAGAACATTCTAGAACAATTTAAAACATTCTGGAACAATTTAGAACATTCTAGAACAATTTTAAATATTTTGGAACATTTTATAGGTGAACGCACAGCAAAAACTAAGACACCCCAAAAACAGTGTGGTCAGTTATATGGCTATAAAAATTTAAATCTGTACTTTAAAACCACGAAAGAAATGTTTTTTGACACATGAATGTTCCAGTAACAATTAAAATAAAGGAAAACTAAGATAACAATATAGGAAAATTTTTACAAATGTTTTCAGTTAAAAAAAGTGTATAAATTTTTTCAAATTTTTAAGAATAATTGCTATAAAATAGTGGTTTTTTAGACTAAGTTTGCAACTCCAATCTAGTTAACTTATCTTTTATATATTCTATACATAAATCAAACCATTTGCATTTTAAGTAGAAGGGAAACATGTAAAAATAACAATTAAAATATACAATTCAACATGGGGTGCATTAAAAAAAGAATTAACCAGAATCAATCTTTTTCACTAAATTTGCACAAAATTTATAGAAATATCTCATTAAAATAATTGGTTCATTTTTTTCTAGCACCTGCTAATAAAATCATTTCTAGATTTCATCCATTTACTTTGCAATTTACTTTGCTGCAAATAGACTTCATAACATTAAAACAGGTTGGACACTGCTTCAAGGCGAAAGCTTTACATTTTATGTCTCCACAATTACATTGAAGCATACATTTAATAAAAAGTTTTTTAACTTCCTCTTTTTTTTTTGCAGCATCTTCTTTTTCTTTTAACTTTTTTTCTTTGATTCTTTTTATGGATTCAACTACAGTTAATACATTGTTTGTTGTCATTGAACCATGTACTTGGGTAACACAGGTCATATCTTTTGATAATTTAGGCTTTACCTTTTTGGTTACCATAAACCTGGTATTTCTTCCAGTTGAATACTTTTTTCATGAAGTTCATCAATCAGTTCCATAGCTTGTTCAAACTTTGATTTCCAGTAACTTGCTGAACTATGTCTTTTATCAGGCAAAGAAATTAAAGTAGATGGCTGTTTCTCTGCTTCAATACAGTTTTCTGCTCTTTCAAATTTATCTTTTTGCATAAATTCAACACTCAATGAGTTTTCAGTGACACCTACCCTTCTAACAGATTTTATAATAGTTTCTTTGGTTGCCCATTTGTCCCATATATTAGCTAGAACTAACATGAAAGCTTCTTTATTTAAGGAGCAGATAGCTGAAAACATAAAGTCTTTCTGTTTACGATACTCGCTAAGAATGTTCTTATTTACTTGTTCAAGAAGTTGAGTAACTCCTGTTGTGTCTGGTGGAGTGACAAAGAGACGAATTTTTTTCAACTCAAGAAAAGATAAAACATCAAAGTCTAGTCTTGAGCTATGTCCATCTGACAATAAGATGATGGGTCGCTTAACATTTTTTTCATTTAAGTAGACATCAAATTCTTTCAATGCTGCCAAGAATGATTCATGGTTTGATACTCCATTTTCTGATGTCGTAACCAACAAATGTGGAATTTTATTTGCTGCTTCTGTCGGAACCATACAACTTGTAATACCAGTACATTTAAAAATCACCTGGCACATACATATATTCCCTTAAAATAAAAATTGAAAATCATTTTAAGCAAGTATTATTATTTATACATTTTTTCTTAAACCACATATTATTGCATACCTGAAAATGAAACAAATGGTTGAATTGTGACACATTCTCTGTTTTCTCTATACATTCTTCGACATACATCCCCTTTGCCAGCATAAAATAATCCAGATTTGGTACCATTAACCCCATAGTTAATAAATTGGGGTGTTTTATCACAATTAAATATTCGACTAGTATCAACAATGTTATTCCAAACCCCTGCTTAAATTTTCTCTTCACTAACCATAACACCAACTTCTACTAGTTCTTTAGCAAGTTAATCTGATATATATATTACATAGAAATAAGTATATTTAAAAACGTAGATTGATACTTATTCATAAAAATTTTCAAACTGATATTTAAATGATTACATGCCATTTCCCTTTGAACAATTCAGTGCACGGTTTATAGGCACTCTTCTTTGTCGCTTGATGGTAGGACTGCTATGTTTAGCATTAAAGCAAAGCCAAAATGATCGACTTAATCTATAAAAGAGTACCTTATATAAAAACAATAGTCTGATTAAAAAAAGGGATATTTAAATATAAAGATGTTTCTTATTACCCTATTTAGATTTCATAGGATCATTGTAAGTTTCTTTGCACCAATTTATAGCAGCTTCTAGTTGCTTATTTTTTTCATTAGTATGTTTTCTGGCAACTGTGGCATCAGCTTTTGTACTAAGATTTCTTACTTTGTTTATACGCAAATGTAATAGAGATGTTGGTTTCATTTTACTTACTATTAACAAATGCAATAAATATAATAAACGAAACTCTAAAATGGAGAACAAACAAAAAAGCATAATATGCTTCAATGGCAGTATTTCCGCAATAAATTAAGATATATAATAAAACTTTTTTATGGATGATAAATAGAAACTTAATTTTTTTATATAGTTTAATCTTCGAGTAAACTATATAAAAATTTTATTAAATTATTTTAAATCTTTTCCATAATCATCAAAAAACCAACGTGGTTTTTGGGGTGCATATGATGTGGTTTTTGTAGTACATTTGAAGTGTTCTATAAAATATAAGTTAGCAGTGATGCAATCATCCTAAGAGCAACTTATTATAACAATCTTTTTCAAAAAATCAGGTTAAAATTCTTAACAGCTAAGAAATTATAGCCAAATTAGTTAATGTGGTTTTTGGGGTGCATGGCAAAAAAAAGAGTCAGCTTCGACATTCAAGCAAAAGAAAACAAGCGAGACATATTAAACCATACCTATCAGGAAGAACCCCATTTAAGCTTATCTTTCAATAGTAATAACTTAAAAAATATTATTTTTCTCAAGAAAAAAGTTCTAGGCTCTCCTACTTTCATGTGGTTTTTGGGGTGCAACCACCTGTAGAACAATTTGGAACTTTCTGGAATATTTTAAAACATTTTAGACTAAATACAGCTGCTCATCTAATTTTATAGTTATTGCAAAAGCAACACATGACGTGTACAAGTCTAGCAATAGTAACATTCAGAAGAACAAGGATGTTTGGACCAATAATCTGGTAAAATTTAAAGACTCTAATAAAAGAAGAAGAATGGTCTCTTTGGAAGAATGTTCACTGGAAGAAAAGTGCAGTATGCCACTTGGACCAAATATCAATGGATGAAACAAGCGAATAGCAGAAATTTCCGAAGAAGTCACCAAATTGTGGAAGAATAAACTGAATTTTTCTCATGTATCTGATCAAGTCATACAAACAAAGCTTGATAAAATACTGAAATGTTATGATGAATGTGTCAAGAGGGAAAGCTACAAACCCCTTAATAAAATTTTTGATATTACTAAAGTGGATGGAACATGGTTATCTTTCGAGGACAAGCGATTGTACCATCTCCAAGTGGAAAGCAAAGAAACAGTGGCATATGAAAACAATGAAGAAGCTGAGACAACTCCTACACCAAGCAGAAAACATCATAAAAGCAAAATTGCAGTCAACTTGGTGACCTCCACAAGAGTATCAACAAACAAAGGTGCTAACATATGCAAAACAAAGCTGCTAACATATGCAAGCAATTGGCTTGTGAAGGCATTGACATACCATCTCCATGTCAATCAGCTATTTACAAGTCAACAATCAAAGACAATCAAGCTGAAGGAAGAAATGATTGAAAAGTTGTATATGGAAAATGGCCCTTACACTTTGATGGCAAGCACATAGAAAGAAGGGATTATCAAGTGGTCGTCCTTAAAAATGGATCAAATTGGATGTCCTTGGCTTAGTAGATGGCAGGACTTTAACTATTGCTTAAAGAGTTTTTAAAGTCCTTGATGAATTTCACCTACGGAATTCAATACAGATGATTGTGGCAGATACCACCAGCATTAACACTGAAAAAAAGAATGGTTGTTGTTGTAATATTGCAATGAATACTCACAAAGAAACGCATCAACAAACCTTAGTTTATTAGTTGTCAACACCATGTATTAGATAAAATCCTCTGTTTTGTGATGGATGAAGGACTTGGAAGTAAAACACAATAGCCAAGCATCAAATATCCATTTGTATCTCAACTGTTGAAGGAGTACGAACAACTGAAAATACAGTTTGATAAGGGAACAAAAATAATTCTTGAAACATCAGGCTGGAGAGATGGTAAGATATTTTTGTTTCATCTCACTCAAGTGTTCCGAATTTTTGAGGAAAAGGAACATTTTCCATTTATCAGGTTTCAGAAAATACTCAACATGAGGTGAAACTCCAAAGCTGAACTAGCGATTATGGCCTTCATTTAAATTCCTTTAACAAGGGCAGTTCTGCAGAGAGTACAGATGTCGATTTACATTGTATGGCTGGGCAGACCATTAGTTTACAGACCAATTGTACAACAAAAACAATTTTAATAACTTGGCTGAAATGATGAATCCATACAAAAAGGTTTTAAACTCTTTGAAAAATCACTGGAGACCCATCCATTCTATTCATTCATTGAATACCCAGAAGTATTCAATGCGCAGAGTGTGCAATCAAAGTAATCAAGGAAATTTATTCATTATAGAAAAATAAAGATAAATTGCACCTTCGATTCCTCCTGTGCAAGAAGCAAGAGCAAAGTCAACAGCCTGAGTCATTGTTGGATTGCAAATTTATTGTATTATATGACTATGACATTCTAAATACATTTGAATGCATAGTACTTATGTCAAAATCGATTTTTCAATGGTGGGGTGAACCTTTTCGAAAAGATATGCAAATAATAGTTTTTTTTTGTGCTTTTTAGGTAAAAGTTCATCAAACTACAGTACAGGAGCATGGGTTGATAAAAAGTCATAACCCTACTGTTCAACTTGAAATGTTTTATTTCAATACAAAATAAATTCATTGTTTTTTAACAACTTCATAAATAGTATTCATAAATATTTTATAAACTGTTATATATTTTATTATAATTTTTGAAGCATATGTTTCTGTAGCACCCTGCAGTTTATGTACCCAGCAGTTTGTAGTAAAACATTTATTGTTTTACATTTAAATTTTTACCACAGTATAAACTTACCATATATGGAAGTATCAACATTTAAATAAGCAACTCCTCTTTGACGTAGTTCATGCTGAAATTCCTATTAAAATAAATTAACAAAATTATGATGTATTTATTCAGAAAATAATCATCGTGTGTTACTTTGCCTTGGGCAAATTAAGTGATTGAAAATTCCAGAAAAACTTCTGGTCTTTAAATATTCAATTACTTAAAAACCATGATCGCAAGTTAAGATAGCACGTTTCGGACCATTAGCAACATTAGTTTGACAAATTGTTGATTTTAATAGTTCATGTTTGTAAACATTCCTTAATTTTTCTATTTCAATTAAATTTTGGGATTTATTTTGATTTTGCAACCTTGCCAAACCATTTATGCATTTATATTTATGATCTTTATATTTTTACAACTTCAAAGGGTATTTCGATAACAGTTTTAATTAAAGAATGTAATTTAATAGTAAACTATTAAATTACGTTATATTACGTATATCAATACAAATTTGTATTTAAAAAATAAAATAAGTTTCTGCATCAGGGGTATCACTATCACATTCTGAAATTGTCAAAAAGGTCAACGATACATATTGGATTGGCAGATTTTTTTTTTTTTCTGGATATCAATGTGGTACAGCAGAAAGCTTATTTTATCTTTATACCAAACATACAAAGCAGGATTTGGGTCAAATTTTTTGATGCTGAATCCTTCTTTTTCTATTCAAAAAAGAGATTCAAGATGATCCTAAGAGGATTCTACTTCAATGTTATAAACAAACTAAGCGCAACTCAAATACGTCTAATACATTTCTGCATTCAGCAATAATTATATCTGGCATAAATACTTTTCCTATATTTTCAAATAATATTCACCTAAGAAATTTTTTAATATTGGAAAAGTATAACTTTTAAAAAGAATCCACTCAATAAAAATTTTATCAGTATTACCTATTTTATAAGAAACCTTTAAAATGTGAAACCACTTCTGCTTTTTCTTTATCACCAATTGAAAACACAGGGTTCATCAACCAAAAAGAAATGTTGAACAGAAAAATTGAATTACATAATAAAGGAGATATTATCATCTTTGAAGCACTAATTGTTAAACTTTGAAGTATCTTTGTTCAACAATTCATTGTATAAGTATAAATGTGTTGCACCAACGCATTTGTTTGATTAAAACTTTATAAAGTAATGTTTTCATGAATATAATTGCCATCTTTTTAATTATCCTTTTAATTAATTTTTTGTAGTTTATTAAAATAATTTGCTCTGTAGAAATATTGCTTAACAAACTAATCAAGAGAGCTTGAAATTTCATAATTGTCTAATTAAATTACTGTGGCCTGATTGCTGTGCCATGCGAAAATTTTTTACTGGATCCTGTAAACCTTGCTGGAAGCCAATAGTCTAGCATCTCAACAATGCAAGAACAAGTAAACAGATAAATGTATTACTAGAGATGGTTTATCTAAACTTATAAAAACCCCTTTCATTCTGTATTTTCTGACAACTGAGAACCTATATATATATATATATATATATATATATATATATATATATATATATATATATATATATATATATATATATATATATATATATATATATATATATATATATATATATATATATATATATATATATATATATACATATATATATATATATATATATATATATATATATATATATATATATATATATATATATATATATATATATCACAAACAGAACACTTTTTTGCTGTTATTTTTGTTGTTAAGTATGCTGCTTGAGATATATTGATTTTTTTTTATATTTTGAATACTAAGTATTTTTACAGGTAAATGATTCTAAGGAAGAATTTATTCCAGTAAAAAGTTCTCAATATAATTTAATGAAACTTGATAGATTTGCAATGGAGGCTGTCAGGTATATAAATTTTTTATACATATTGAATTTAGATAAGAATTTTTTATATATACTTTATTAAAAGTGTGAAAAAACAAACAAACAACAAGTTTCACCATTTTTCATCCCCAGTAATTTTTTTTTTTTAATGTGGGAGAGGAGAGGGTGAATATAGAATGTTAAGGGATCACATATAGATAATATACTTTGCTTTTTCAGATTTGTTTATTTATTTCATAGTTTTTTATTTGCAGGTATGATGTCTCATCTCGTGCTGCAGCTGCACTTGCAAATGCTCTACTTCTAGATTATGGAATAATCAAACATGGAGATTCTAATCAAGTTGTAGATCGAAGCAAAATTGAGAGGTAAATACTATTTCATTATATAAGTTAGACAAATATAATTACATCTTTTTATTTAATAATTTATATAAATGCTCATTTACAAAACATTTAATATGATACTTAGCTAAATATAATACTTTGAGTTGTTTTATAGAGAGAAGAAGAAAGTAATGTCAAAATATGGTAATCAACATGATAATAATTTAAGTAACTTGGTGTGTTTGGGTGTTGATGGTAAAGATGATAAAAATGTTCTTCAGTTTAAGGATGTCGTTGAAAATGGAGAAACTCGCTTGTCAAGAGTTACTGAAAAAGAATATCATTTAACTTTTACTAATGAAAATATTTTTTAAAATGGTTCATATCTCTCTCATAAAAATCTCCCATCAAATGGTGCAAATGGTGCAACTGGTTTGCTTCAAATTGAAATTGTATATAATGTTCTGAAAGAGTATGATAGTTTAAATTCAGTACAAGCCCTTCTTCTTGATACTGTCAATACAGGTTTCAAAACTGGAATTGTTGCATGTTTAGAAAAGAAATTAGAAAGAAAAATACACCTTATCGGATGTACTTTGCATCACAATGAACTTCCATTTCGAAAAGTATTCAAAATAGTTGATGGCAGTTCAAAGTGTCCAAATAAATTTTCAGGACCTATTAGAAAGCAAGTTTCTATAGATTTCCATCTTAACCCACAAGTGAAGTTTACCAAAATTGATACTCGAGTAGAGATATTAAATATTCTCATTGAAGTGATAAATGATTTAAGCCACAATCAAAGACTATTATTTGAATATTGTCTTGGAATTTCTAAAGGATTTAGAAATTCCAAGACAATAAAAGAAAAATTGGTCCACTAAACAACGCAAGATGGTTGACTTTAGCAATTTGAATCATGGCTTTGTATACTCGTACTGAAGCACCAAGTCTTGATCATGTAAGGCTTGTAAATTTTATTGTACAAGTGTATGCATACACTTGGTTTCTTATTAAAAGGTCTTCTAAATTTATGGATTCTCCAAGTATCTTGATAATGAAATTTTGATCACTTATATTCATGAATTTAAGTTTATAGTGTTAAGAACAATTAAAAAAAATTATTTAAAAACATGTTCGGATTTTGGTCATGGTTATCCATGGCTATTTTTATTACCCGTTTATTAAGTTGATCACTGTAATAATCACTGTTTTCGAATAAAAAATTAAGCTTTAGGGGTCATAGAAATAATTTTTGAAGGTTTTTGCAAATAGTGTAATGCTTCAGCCTTCTAAATTCACGATTGGCTAGATATTTTAAATGAAATGGGTACACGTACCAATTATGTTTAAAGTATTTAATCAAAATTAAATTGTTCAATTTATTAATCCTTTATTCATATCTGGTAATTATTAATTACTTACATCTTGGATAATCTTGAGGTCAAAATTACTCAAGTTGTTTGTAAGCACTTTCAAGACTTATATAACTATAATTATCTAAATTTTTTTAGTATATAACTATGCATAATTTTCAACTAATTTTACCTTAAAAAACTAAAAACGACTTTCATAAGTAAACTTTGTATATACAGCTTAGTTATATAAGTAATTTTAAGTTTGCCGTTCAAAACTTGATTGTATTTTAAATATATTAATAGATATGTGTTTAAATGAGTTATAAAAACTAGCTAAAAATAAATTGAATGTTTAAATGCGTATATTGCTTATTATATACCATTATATTAAATAAAATTTTTGTAATTTATTATTAATTTATTTGACCATTTTATAATCAATAAATTTATTTGAAAAAAAAAACTTTTGACTGGTTTGAATTTTTTATTAATTGATTTCATAAATAGCAGAAAAAACGTGAAAATTAAGAAAAATTGTGTTTTTTTGCATTTCTTCAAAGTCGATTGAGCTTGCCATTTTTTATTTTGGATAGCTAAAATTTTTTATGAGTTCATATTTTACCCTGTTGAACTTACTCCCAAATTACTAACATAGAATTTCCAAAAAAGTATGCAAATCACTCCACCCTAATATATGCGCAGAATGAAATTTTAATATACAGAATTTTTATATACAGAATTTTTATATACAGTACATGTAATTTTAATATACAGTATCTTAAACAGTATTTTAATATACAGTATTTTACAAATTTTTATATACAGTAGGTGTAATTTTAATGCATAATAAAGCTTTTATAATGTTTTTCTATTAAATGATGATTATGTAATCATTCACTTAAATGTTTGTACCACATGATTGTTTGTATCGCAAGTGTTGTACCACATGATTGTTTGTATTGCATGTGTTGTAAGTTCACATGTTTTATGTTCAGAAGAAAATTGTTTAATCTAAATTAACTGATATTTAACATATAAACACTTTAAAATAAAAAAAATAAAAACTTAAAAGCTGGTAGAGAATCATAGCTAGATTTTAAACTTTTGATTGATAAAATAATAGCCTAATAATAATAAAAATAATAATGGCGTAATAACTACTAGCTGATTTTATCATGACTAAACACTGCTCCCAATAAATAAAATATCAGTATATATAATTTTTTTTATATGGAAACAAGTTAACATTTGTGGTCTTCTTTAAAATTTGTATTTTAAATTTGCAAAAAATTTTGAATTTTACTGATTCTTAGTTCATATTTTACCTATAACTGTTAAAAAAATATAAAATTTTTAGTGGTAATCTTCTACCTCAACATATTCATTAGAACCAATCAATCCTTGCTCTTCACCATCCCAAGAAAAAAATTTAATTGTCCGCATCGGTCTCCAACCTAAAACATATATTATATTGTATATTATATAACTATATATTAAATCTTTTTTAACAAATTTATAACCATAAATTTTAATATTATATAAAATTCTAAATAATAAAAAATATTATATATTAAATTCTAATATCATCTATTATTAATATATCATTATTCTCTCTCTCTCTCTCTCTTTACATATATATATCTATCTTTATATATATATATATCTTTTTATATATATATATATATATATATATATATATATATATATATATATATATATATATATATATATATATATATATATATATATATATACTTTATATATATATATACTTTATATATATATACTTTATATATATATATATATATATATATATATATATATGTATATATTCCCAATAACTCTAATCTCCAAAAGACCAAAAAAAATGGTTTGACTTAACAAGTGTTCGATTAAAGCGAACTCAAAGTTGAATATTGGCTGAAATATATTTAATTATATATTTATTTTTTATAATATCTAATTATATAAATATAACAAGATATTAGTTCAACTTAAGCATGGCCCATGCCACCAATGGGGCCAGATGGCACATTTCCAGTTTTTTCCCAAAGGATTTTTTTTCATTATAATTTAGAAATTTCAAGATATAGAGGACTTTATTTTTCAAAAACATTTTTTTTTTTTTGAAAAATGATGATTGTAAACCCCTCCCCTTTGAAACCCTTTGAAAAAAGTTTTAGTGAAAGAAATTAAGTTTTGTATTTATGCTTTACACTCAAAAGATAGCATTTTAAAAAGTTTAGCAACATAATGACTTTTTTATTATTTTTTATTATTAGATTTCATTAAGAAATTTATCAAAATTAAGAAATAATTGCTTTTTTAACATTATTACTACTTTTCTAAAATAATTCTATTCTTTAAGTCTGATATTCTATTAAGATCCAAATTCAACAACTACAAAAAAAGAAAAAAATATTTTACTGTTATTTAAGTTTTATATGGAATGACTTATTTAAAAAAAATTTCTTTATTTTAAATAGAAATTTAAATTATCAGGTTGGACTTCAGAGGTTGGACTTCAGATGTTGGACTTCAGAGGTTGGACTTAACCAGAGAATTTCACAGCAGCCGTGGCGCAGTGGTAGCGCACTTGCCTCAGAAACATAAGATCCGTGGTTCAAACCCCACCTCCGGGCAAGCTTTGCGACATTGGTTGGGAAGGAGGCGTGAATGCTCCTCTGCAGTGCTCTGTGACAAGACCGTAAGGACTTCTTGGGGCACCTTAATCATCTTGAAAAAATTAAATATATATATATATATATATATATATATATATATATATATATATATATATATATATATATATATATATATATATATATATATATAATTATATATATATATATATATATATATATATATATATATATATATATATATATATGATACTTGGAAACCTATATTAGTTGCTGGTAAAGTCATTAAATACAGTTTTATTTTTTGCAATAAGTTATACTTTTTTATTTGTTGTACACTAATTATTTTTTGTTATAACAAACAGTATATTACAAACTAATACATTTTATATTATATATTATATAATACTGATATCTTTATTAAAATTTACTCTGAGTATTATCATATCCTTCCTTTCTAATCTCTAGTACCTTTTCCACTCATAACATTCATTCCTTTTCATCTTTGGAAAAAAAAAGCCTGAATAATACATTCACTAAATGCAAAATATGCAGATCTCTTTGCAATTTTCATTCTATTGCAACAACCTCTTTTTTTTTTTTGATATTTTAGTTGTTTCAATTGGAAAATATGTCGAGGTCCATCTAACCAGGAATGTTTTACTTTTATTTGAAACCAGCAAGGTTTATACACCAACTATAAATTCAAATATTAAACGGAGGTTTTTTTGTTAGAAATTGAATTAAAACCCACAATCTACAAAAACAGTTGGCTATAGTTAGCCATCTGGAATCAGAATCAGACCCTATTTCAAGGATAACTAAATTTTCAGGTAAAATTCCAAATCTTATTGCTGTTACAATTCTGAATTTATAAGCCTGATCAGCCAAAAGATTATCAAGTATTTTGGTTGGCCTAAAATTACTTTTTCAAAGTTTTTGTTTGCAATGTTTGCATTAGAGGGACCTCAGTATATATTATTCCAATTGAATTCCTTGTGCAAAAACATATTCCTCTGAGAAGCAAGTAGGATATATAAGAGCACAAGAAATCAGTAGGGGTTTTATGAGCACAGACAATGCTAAATATAACTCACAAATTTTAAATTTATAAACTTCTAATTGTTAATTATATGTAAATTTTAATAAAGATATCAGTATTATATAATATATAATATAAAATGTATTAGTATATAATATACTGTTTGATATAACATATGTTATAACATATATAAGTGTTAGACATATTATTAGTTATAGAAAAAACAGTGCACCCTATGATAACATTCACTGTCTAAAATATGAAAAAATCAACTAATTTTTCGACAAAAAATCTTCACAAAAGCCTCAATTATGTGTTTATTTTTTTGACTTTTTAACAAAATTTGATATTACCATAAAGTTCAACATTATTACAGATATTTACCTTAGTGTATTGAACCATTTTTTAATTTTAACTAACTTTAAAAACATACCGTCTTTCATTTTCTCTCCAAGCGCTCGTGCAATTTCCATCATAACAGAGGTTCCACTGCCAGGGTCTGCTGCACCAAATATCCAACTATCTCTATGATTTCCAATCATGACATATCGATCTAAAAATATTCTTAACTTTCTTAATGAATATTGTAGCCTTAATCTTGTGATAAAAAGAGTGAACTCTGAAACCAAATATTATTTTGATTTCTATACAATTTTTTATATTAGTTATTTTATTTAACACATATTTCTATATATATTTATTTATTATATACTTTTTTATTAGTTATTTTACATGGAATGATAATAAGTCTTTCTCACCATCACTTTAGAGTTATTGTTCTTACTCATAGTTTTTATTTAGTACCCTTATGAAGCTGCAGCAAAACAAGGAAATGCATGACAGCTAATTTTGATTTAAAATTATCGTAGAAGCACTGCAAAGCATTCACTGCAAAGTACCTTCCAAAACATTCCAAGTACTATTTAGAAAGTTTCATTAAACGAGGTAGTTACAATCAATTTTGCAATAAATGTTGCAGGTTGATCAAATTAATATCATTTTTAAATATGAGCTTTTATTCTTAGAGCAAGCCTTCCTGAAAAGCGTCTGTGATTGCGCGCCTTGTTCGTCCACACTTAAAGTAATTTTTTTAGACAATTCGACCATATTTTTATTAGTAAACGTTTTAAGAATTTGCAGCAAAATAAAGCTATAAGAAAATAAAGAGAATAAAACAACAATACTCAATGAAAAAAACCAAAGACTATACAAAATAGAAAATCTAAACAAAATAAGTTTAAAAAATAGAAAATTAAAAAAAAAAAATGTAGTAGTAAAAAATATTATACCTAAATGTTTTACTGCTATTGTTTTCATATTTTTAGGGTGTTTGCTATTTTTCACTACTAAAATTGATACAACTCGAGGAAAAAAGTAGATAATATCACAAAAATAAATATTTTTTGTTACACAATATTTTTGGAACTTTTTTCAGTCAGTATATTAAGTAAATACTTTATAATTTGCGCTAGAAACAAGGACAATTTTTAAATTTGTTTTTTATATATATTTGCTAAACTTTACTGTTTTTATCAATGCTCAGGAAAGCAAGAAAACTAATTGCTATTTATTTTGTAAATAAAAAAAATTTTATAACAAATTTTAATGTAAAAAAGTAAAGTCATTAATACTAATATTTAAATACAAAATATTTGGTTGTTTTCATTATCCCCATTGAAATAGTCTGCACTTTTTTAGGGTTATCCAAATTGTGCATTTAAACCCGATATATTTTAGTTTATTTCCTGACAAACTATTGTTATTGATGATACTGCAAAAGTTTGTGCATTGTTACTTGTTCCTTACTGAACTTTTTTAACGAAATATTTAAGAGTTTATTTATAACTTTTTTTAAAGTTTATTAATACATTTTTTTAACAAAAAGCAATCGTTATGTTCATTATCTCTAGTTAATATTAGAATTGGGCATTATAAAAGAAACAATTTCAGACATGCACCAAATGCGGTAAATACATTTATTAAAGAAACCATGTTATTCTTTTATTTAACTAATTCTAATTATTTAATTAAACCTGATATTTCTTTAAAACTTTGTTTCCTTTTTTAGGATAGTTTTTTTTCTTCTTATTAGATAAGTTTAGCATTTTGCAGCGTATTATTGAAATACTTTATAAGTTAAAAGATGCAAACTGCTGTGGTCAGTCTGTTTAAAAAAATTACTTTAAACGTGGACGAACAAGGTGTGCGACCGGACGCGCTTCCCAGGAAGGCTTTTAGAGTTAAGTTTGTTTTAATTTAGTTTGTTCTTAAAGTTAAAAGAGTTTAACTTTTGAGTATTTAAGTGACAATTTTGTATACAAGGCATTACCTTTAATCTTTTTAAAGATAAGGACATTATATGGCATTAGCTATATTCTAGATAAGGACAAACTAAAAATGTATTAAATTTTTTCCAGATCTTTTTTCTGCAAACAAAGTTGTTTTTAATGTACCTGATATTTTTTTATGTAACTTCACCTCCCCAAGGCTGAGAAGGCAACTAGAGACGAGGAGGCTACTTAATTGTGGTTACCTCTCAACTCCAAAACTTTGACAAACACAGCAGCTGCATAGAAAAACAAATTAAGTGCGGTACTATCATGAAAATGGTGGAATCCAACTTACTTATGGTGGATATCCAACTTACTTATGAACCTCTTACTTATGAAGAGAGTGCTTTACCATTACCACATAATATGTTTAAATATATGATATAAAAGGTATATTTAAAATATAACTATTATATTATATATGTTTAAATAAATGAAATAAAAGGTATATTAAAAAACTTTTTGATTTTTATGTTGTTAAATCTCTTTGTTTAAACTATTAAAATCTCCTTGTACTTTAAATTAACTTTAATTAACAAAGTCTTTTCTTAATCACAACAATTTTATATAAGTATATATTTGTTATTTATTGATTATTAATTGGCCAGATTGAACCAATACAGGTTGAACCAACACAGATTCAATCTGTGATGAATTACAATAATAATTTAATTTAATCTTTGCAAATTAATTTAACATTTAATTAAATCTTTTAATTAAATTTATTTAAATATTTAATCATTTTCCCCTGACATATTATCATCAGTCAGTTTTTTTTTTATTCCTGAATAAACAAATTCTAAAATCTAATATTTAAGAATATCAATACCAGGTTCAATGTTTCCAACAATTGTTCCAACAATATTGGTTATTGTACGCTTTGTGATTTGATTATTAACTTCAACCTTTACTTTCCTGCAAATGTAAATATTATAAAACAAATAAAAACCATACCCTAATACATATATAAAAACAGGCATAAAAAAATAAAAACCACACCCACATACATATATAAAAACAACCATATATAACCAACCAAACAACCAACCATATATAAAAACACTCATACAAATATATAGAAAGGTATTTAAAATAAGTTGTCAGATTAGTACATATGTATCTAAACACAATATGTAGATAGTGAATATTTTCAGGAATTCTTAAAAATATTTAAAATACAAAAATATAAAATAGTTAAAATACGTAATATTTGGTCATGTAATCATTTTTTTAACATTTTTTGATCGATGCACTTTGTGCAAAGTAAACTTTCAAAATTCAATTTATTATTTAATAAAATTTCACAATTTCTAGGAATATAAAATGTAGCCCAAGGTAACTTGGTAAAACTTATTGGTGCCAAAAATATAATCAATATAAAGTATGAAATTAAAAAAAAAAAAAAAAGCAGAAAATAAAAACAACAGAAAACAAAAAAACATATTTTATACATTTATTATGGCAAAGATTGTACCTTTTTAAATTTATAAATAACATTAAATGTATAAATAACATTTTATGTATAAATAACATTAAATAATAACATTTATAACGGCAAAGTAATAATTAGCAAAGTAATAATTCATTTTTTCATTTTCTTTTTCTTATTTACCTAGATTTCTACATTTTGAAAATAAATTTTGAAATCGTGAAAATTATATTAGGATAGTGCCAATCAAAATCCATAGAAGCAAATGTGTGCATTTGTGCGAGTGTGTACGCGCGCGTGTGTGTTTGTGTGTGTACTTTGTTGAATGTTGACACCTTTAAAAAAGTTTATCTATAAGTTATTAAATAAAAACAGTTTTTAACAGAATTTGTTTGTTTAAAACCCAGAATAAAAACCATTATCATTTACAAAACTAATACATTCTCTAAAATAATCATATAAAAAAAATATCAGTAAACCAATATTTCTATATTCATACTTGATAAAGCCAATGGTTTTAATATTTACATATCTTACACAAACCACATGTATTACCAGATTATTAATCTCAAGCATATCATTTACTTTATATATATAATAAATATATATAAATATATATATATATATATATATATATATATATATATATATATATATATATATATATATATATATATATAATAATAATAAATATATATATATATATAATAAAAATATATATATAATAAATATATATATACATATATATATACATATATATGCATATATATATATATATATATATATATACATATATATAAATATATATATATATATATATATATATATATATATATATATATATATATATATATATATATATATATATATATATATATATATATATATATATATATATATATATATATAGAGAGAGAGAGAGAGAGAGAGAGAGAGAGAGAGAGAGAATACCTTACTTATATATACATATGTATATATAAATATATATATATATATATATATATATATATATATATATATTAAATATATATATATTATATTATATTTATATATGTATATATATAATAAATATATATATATATATATATATATATATATATATATATATATATAACATTTAGAATACCTTATTTATATATACATATATATATATATATATATATATATATATATATATATATATATATATAAATATATATATATATAAATATATATATATATATATATATATATATATATATTAGGCTTTCCCAGGAAAGGCGTGGGGTCGCACGCCTTGTTTGTCCACGCATAGAATAAATTTTTCTGACTAACTGACCACGTTTTATTATTATGCGTTTTAAGAATTCGCGCCAAAACAAAGCTAAATGAAAATACCGCAAAAATGCAACCAATCTTAAAGTAAATAACAGAAATCTGTTTGTGCTTTAAAATTAAAAAATTAATGTATATTATTAAAAAAAAAATTTACCTTTATTTTATTTATTTTTTTAGGGTGGTAGTTATTTTAGCTATGAAAAATCAAATCAATAAGAAAAATCAAATTAAAAAGAAAAAGAATAATGTTTAAAGAAAATAAAAGGACCTTTTAATGTAAAATTTGTTTATGACTTTTATCACTCAGTAATACTTTAAAATTTACGATAGAACTATAAACAATTTTTAAATGTTTCGTAAATACATTTAAATGTTTAAATGTATTGATTTTAATTTTTGAATGTGTTAATACGCAAGAAAACACGAAAACGATTGCTATTTATTAGTAAAATATGTTGTTTTTTTTCTAAATGAAGGAAAATTTTATTGTCAAACGATTGAGTTGCTTATTTTGCAATCATTAATTGACATTATGAACGAGTGTTAATATATAATAATGTCCCGAAGGAACTGTTTTCGTAACAATGACAACAGAAGCAATGCAATTATTTTTTTAACTTCTTTCGTAATTACAAAATTATGCAATTGAATAATTTCAACGTAATAAAAGGCGAGCATTGACTCAGTATAATCAGTTTAGAATAAGTGGAGAAAGAACTTTTTTCACATTAAAATTTTGTTATTTAAAATCTCAAATAATATATTTAATAATTGAAACAGCAATTTATTTTCTTGTCAAAGTATTGGGGAATAAAGTCAACGCCTTTGCATAAACCTTCGTAAAAACTAAAGTAAATGAAAAAGTTTAACCAAATTCGTCTAGCGTAAATAATGAATCAGTTTTTTAATACATTGTCTGATAAAGTTTGTGAATAAATTAGGTATCAAGTCTTTTTATTTTCGTGAAAACTTTATCGTCTTTATAGACATATCGTCGTTTTTTCCTTGACTTGTATCAAATTTCGTAGCTGAAAATAGCAACCCTAAAAAAAGCAAACAAAAACAGTATAAAAATTTTGAAAAAAATGTTAAAGACTTTTTTATTTTTTTGTTACGATTATTATTTTTTTTTTAATTTTTTTTTTATTATCATAATATTTTTCTTACATCCAATTTCAATTTTATGCTTTGTTTAGACTTCGTTTCCTTTTTTTAATATTATTTTTTCTTCTCTGTGGATAATTTCCGCTTTCCCACGAAATAATGCCGCGGTCACGTTTTCTGAAAAATTTATTCTATGCGTGGACAAACAAGGTGTGCGACCGCACGCCTTTCCTGGGAAAGCCTGATATATATATATATATATATATATATATATATATATATATATATATATATATATATATATATATATATATATATATATATATATATATATATATATATATATTACCTATATAGAATACCTTATACAAATAGATTACCTTTTTTTTAGTTATAATTTTTTTACTTTTTTATTTTGATAACTTAAATTTTTTAACAATTTGTCATCATCTAACAATAATAAGATTATGATTTTTTATAAACAACAAATCATTGATCCAGCAACATACAAGCATATGCAGTTGTAGTACCCAATTACCGTGAACCATGGAGTACCTTACATTGAGTATCTTCTGAAATGTTAACATAAAGATCAGACCATTTGTGATTGATACCAAAAATGTGAATTTTACTTACTTTTTACTAGACAATCTGTATGTGATATTTAACATTCCATTCCAATCATTAGGAACGTCACCAACATCCATTTCCCTATGAAAAAAACAAAAACTATTTAAATATATTCAATATTTTATATCAAGAACATTTTATTGCCATTATCAAACATTTTATATCGCCAGAAAAAAAAAACTGGAATTTATGTTTATGATTAAACAATCTCATTTTTTTAGTTTGATAACTTCACTATATTAACTTTGATAACTTCACTATATTAACTTTAATAACTTCACTATATTAACAAAACCTTTTTTTTTGTACCAAACATAGCTCCTAATTAAGCTCTGGTGTTAAATTTGAGCAATATTAAATTAATGACTTTTATTAAAGAAAATTTGTGTTAATTTTATTGAAGACAACATGTTTAAAATATAATCAAACTTGTCACCTAGCAACATAACACACCTAGCATATCTTAGTTTAATAGCACAATGATAACATAACTACCTCGAAAATCTCTGATATAACATGCTCTTTAATGTATTTTTAACAGCTTGCTTGATTTCTTATTTATTAATTTTAAAAAAATTAAATTCATTCTAAGTGTGATTTAAATGAAAGTTTGCAATTGAAAAGTTGTTGACTTTTCAATTAAAATCAAGTTGTTAACCAGGGTGTTTACCAGGAATAAATTTGATACAGAGTTTAAACGAAATTGGGAATTTGTCAAAGTATTTCCCAACCACCCAACCTCTCTTCCCTGAGATTAAAATATGTTCTAGGAATGCGTAGGGGTCCTTTTCTTATGTTCTTTCTTTTTCTATCCACTTCAGCGCTGCATACATTGATTGACTAAAAATAAAATAAAGTACTGTCTGTAATATTAAAGATGAATATGAAATTAACACAAAATTAAGTGGGGTTACTCGAAGACATGACAAATTAAGAACCGATTTCTGAACATATATAACAAATGATATATTTTTATATTATAAAATAACCAGTTTATATTAATTAATTATTATTAAGAATAATAAATTTGATTTATTTTTAATCTTAGTATCCTCGCCGCTTTCATTTCAAGACTATTATTTTGAATATATTTATTTTTTTCAATGCAATATAGTAAAATAGCGATTTATGTTCAACAAAAATCTCCGCAGAGTAGAGCCAATAATCTTCTACTTCTAATTATTATTTAAATTCTGCTTGACATACTTTATGAACCCTTACATCATCATGTAACAAATTGTGTCATCAAAAGAAATTTTTTGAAAATATTATCTATTTTCAAAAAATAGATAATATTTTCAATATTATCTATTTTTAATAAAAAAATAATTAACACGAGCTTGTAAATTTTATATTTCACATTTATTTCGAGTTCAATTTTAAAATAAATAATAATTTATTTTATATATAAATGGCATAGCAAAATAAAGTTATAATGACAAAGTCTCAGCAAAAACAACAACAAATGTTATTTAATTATAGAGTAATATTGATAGCAAGCGATTGCACGCGTGGCATCGAAAAATAATAATAATAATTTTTTCATTAATAGTTATAAAATGTTATAACTATGCTTATTCAAATTTTGCTTTAATATTTAAATTCAAGCAAGCGGTGACTCTTGTTTTCTGATTTTTTAATTTTCTAATACCAGTTTGTTGAAACAAAAAAAACATTTTTGTTATTAAGCATATTTAATTTACGTTTTAATATACGTATTTACATATTTACTTTTATTTTTTATTTTCTATTTTCCTCGTTCAATAAATTTTTAGTACCTTTTTGTTATAATCATAAAACATTTTTTGTATTTAACTTATATTTAAGAGGTGGTTTTTAAAAAAGTTTGTGAATTAATAGGAGATAAATAACGATGTGATAACCTAATTAATAGTTAACCAGTTATATAAAATACCAAACAAAAAAAGAAAAACAATAACTGAAAGACTTTCTGAAACAACCATAATTGATCAAAATTTTAAAGGTATCTGACCTAAACTTCTTAACGTTTTTGTTGACGAAGTACATGTAATACTTGAAGTTAAGTTTGTGGTAAGACTTGATGAATTATTCAACTTTTCAGCCGAAAAAGGCGAAACTTTTAAAGAACTAGCATTTGCAGGTGTTAAACCAAACAAGTTTGTTATTATTTTAGATCTTTTAGATTATTACTTTCTTTCTAGCTAACTTTTTTATATAATATTTGCTGTTGTTGGAATGCATTGCAAAAAACTATTTTCAAATTATGAGAAATGAATTTTACTGGCAAGTTGCCGAGAAAATCTATAAAATCAAATTCTTATGAGGTTTTTTCCAAGAGACATTTTTGCAGTTATGCAACCACGTTTTTATATCAATAATAGCGATTTTATTTCATGTTTTAGGGAAATGATGAATTAAATTTTTTAATGTTATTTTTCTATTAGTTTTGTATAAAAATTAATTTCAAAATTTTTTAAATTATTATTAAACTTTAATTTGGAAACTTTATTTAGAGAATGGGATTTTTTAATCTTTAAATTAGGAATTTTTATTTTATGAGCATTTATGAAAACCGCGACGGGGCGCCACAGGGCTAGTTTACACCCTGATATATATTATCAAAATCTTAACAAAAATCTTTGAACAAACAAAAATTTTATTGCAATATTTGTTATTTAATTTAATTGTTTTTAGTTTAACTTAAAAAAATTTAAACCTATTCCAAACAAATATTTTTTAAAACTTAATTTACAAAAAAATTTATTTATTGAATAAAAAATGTTTTGTAAATAAAATGAAGAATAAAATAATGCGCCATAGTAGTAACAAGTTTTGTAAAAAAAAACATCTGCTATCATTAATTTTTCCTTTTCTATTATTTTGAATGTTCTTATTTTAAATGACTTACAGAAATTTTCTAATTTCAGTGAATATAAGTTCCGTAAATAGAATAAATCTACAAAAAAAAATATTTTGCAGAATAAAAAGTATGAAGTAACTTACTTCATTATATTAAATGCATCAAAAGCAGAAATAGGCTGAGATGGTATCTTTGGTAACATTGCATTTTTTGGGTCAATTCTGTAAACCCAATCTATATTTCATTTTAAAATTCAAAATTTTTATTACAAGTTGTAACAGAAAAACAATTGTAAAATACATATTTTAAGAAACATTTAATACAATTTTTATTATACTATATTTAAAAATTAATTACCTTTAGCAGGGTAACTAGGAGTAAGAGAATCTCCAAAAATTGTTTTAATTGAACCTCTTTGGATGGCTTTTCGTGGCATCCATTTGCTTTTTGGAAACAGTTCATCATCCTTTACTGGTCCATAATCTTTAGGATCACTGAAAATAACAACACCAAGTGCACCAGACTTTTCAGCTAACTCAACCTAGAAATGTATCAACCAAGAAGCTTGAAATAAAATCTAAAATTTTGCTTGATAGATACACAGCATTAATAAACACAGGGTAAAGGAGGTTGGGGGAGAGTCAGAGTTTTAATCACATCAATCAAAGGTTTAAAATAAAAACTAAAAATAGTTTTATTAAATACATAATTATACATAATTTTATTCCATCTAATAAAAAAGGGACTAAAAAAATATATGAAAATAACACATGTTTGCAAAAAGAAAAATGAAAAAATTATAGACAGCACAGAAAACATATTGTCACCTGAAAACTGATTTGTTTAATATCCACTTTTTACTGAAAATGAGTTGCTGTAACAGAATTTTATTTTAAGATATGATTGTTCAATTTTGCTTATCAAATTTTGCTTATCGAAATTTTTACAATCCAAAAAAATAAAATGTTAATTTATAAAAAACCATAAATATCTGGATAATGAACGAACCATTATTTAATTAAACCATTACCATATTTATTTTTTGTGTAATTTTGGTTTTACTTTTAATTTATTGTTAGTTCTGCTCTGTTCAATATCAAGCTGAGCCTATCACTGTGTTCAGTGGTATAAAATAAAACATATACATTGTTTTCAGTTAATCAAGACTTATACTGAATAAATATTTTATATGTATTATATTAAAAGTTCTTATAAAATTATAAACAATGGATTTGCCTGAAAATACAGATTATAAAAATAAATTATATGTACCTGTCTTTATGTATGTATGTATGTATGTACCTGTTTTGCCTTACGAAGATTACAAAGAAAGAAATTTATCATATTACTTAATCCTACATCAATTTCATATTTTTCTATAAACAAGAGATCAAAAATCTATTTCTATAGTAATTTAATAAAATGCTAATTTAATAATCAAAGGTTGAAATGCTAATATAATACCACCACTCAAAGGTGGAAATGTCAAAAAACATACATCATATGAAAAATTAGAAATGATTAGAAACCACATTAAATCATTTCTTTTTGTTGAAACTGCTGTGCTAAAATCAAATAACCAATATTTAGATAATAGTTAAACTTTGACAAGAACGTATGTGTCTAAGAATGTGTGATATGTACAAGGATGTATGTCATGTACAAGGATGTATGATATGTACAAGAATATGTGTTATCTACAAGAATATATGATTTGTATAAGAATTTGTGTTATCTACAAGAACATATGATTTGTATAAGAATGTGTGTTATCTACAAGAATATATGATTTGTATAAGAATGTATGTTAGGTACAAGAATGTATGTTACGTACAAGGATGTATGTTATGTACAAGAATGTGTGTTATCTACAAGAACATATGATATGTACAAGAATGTGTGTTATCTACAAGGATATATGATTTGAATAAGAATGTGTGTTATGTACAAGAATATATGTTATGTACAAGAATGTATGATATGTACAAGGCTAGAGATGAAACATTTACAGATAATTCTTTAATAAGGATTTCAATTTATCATTTTTTAAACCTAAAAAAGATAAACAATAATATACTTGTTGTTTTCTATCTTAAAAATATTTGTGTAATATTTTTGTAATGTAAAAATGAAAAAATGTTGACAAAAGTAAATTATCAAGCTTTTATTATTGTATTAAACTTAATGTTTACAATTTAATTAGTGATTGAAATATTAACAAAAGGGTATTTTGTATTTATACCATTTTGTCTGAATACTTAAGCAGGAGATCTGCTAATGATATTACTAGTACAGTTGTGTAAATATTAAAAAAATGTAGTAAAAGGCATTACTTATATTAATAAAATCATTCTTTGGTCAGACCGTTGGGTTCCACTAAATAAAAGTTGTAAAATCTGATATGGATGAGTTTTTGCGCTTAAGCACTCCTCCATGTCGCATGGTATTATATTTGTAATTATAATTTTTTGTTTAGTTGTAAAAGAAAGTTCGAGCTGGATAGATGCCATTTATATAGTTATTTTATTAAATTTTATTTTATCTTATCCTTTTCTTAAAAACAAAGAAATTAGAGTTTTTAAATTTGCGCCTGATGTAAAAAAGAGTACTTTAACAAAATACAAAGATTTTGCAAAAAGAAGCGAAGAAAATTGTACAGATATATATTTGATTGACATTACATAAACATTAATTTATTTGAAAGAACTTTTATTTTGACATCAAACATCAAACAAAAGCGTATTAATCAGACCAGTCTTATTTTTAAAAAAATAAAGAAAGACCCTGAACTTTCCTTCGCAAGAAACAAAATGGTGTTTAAAATTAGGATGCTTTTTGTTAATATCTCATTGATTAATTTGTTTTGAAAAGTTAAATTAGTTTTAAACTTATTTTCTAATGTTTATTTATGATATGAACACAACTTGTCTCAGCACTTGGGGATCCCTTTAAGTAAAGATTTTAAATGTGTTAGAATTAACGCGATGTTGCTTTGTTAATTATCCAGATGTTTTGTTCAATACCTCTATAAAATTATTAAAAGTTTTGTTCTCAGTGCAGTATAGAACATGTCCAAATTAAATATGCAAATATATTTTTAATTAACGGTTATATATAAATAAGATAAATAGACTTTAAGTGTCATTTTATTATTAATTTTAAAGCAAACAAAATATATTACAACACATAACTAAATTTAAATAAAACACAAGAGCAGTAATACCCTCCTAAACTTAAACTGTGTTTTACCAACAACATGAATGGTTTATTGAACGACCAATTCTGGTGACAATTTGTTTAATTTTGAAATAGACACTACAGTATAAAACATTCAAATACAGAATTCAGAAAAAAAATGATGCTATAAATCTCTATTTCCATAATCAAATACTGTAAGCCTTAACTAATGTAATTTAAATAAAATGCATGTGCTGAAACCCTCTTTTTTTATTTTAGTAAGAAAGACAGTTAACTGACATTATCAGTGGCATTTCTTTTCGAAGAATGATTGTGGGGTCATTCCATATGAAATTATCCAGACCATGACACCCTTACGTTTCAGAATTTGTTCATTTTTACCTCACTTGCAGTCCATATTAAAAAAATAATTGCGAAAATTTTAGTTAAAAATACACATAGATTCCAGAGATATCTTTAGTTGAAATAGTGCTGACTCAGCATTTTAGTGATTATCTGAAGCAACTACAATAGCTTGGAGAAATTTCCTAAAATTTGGTATCCTAATAGATTTTTACTTGAGGAATCCAAAAATAGCACCCTTATGACTCAAATCACAGAAAATACCTCATTTATCCAATTTTGTTTAAAATTATTGACTTGTAAATTCATGATTTTTGAAGGTAAAATGAAGACTGTGGTCCAAAATTCAGAGTAAAAAGTTTAATTGTATATCAATATTTTATCTTAGGCTGAAAAAAATTAGATTCATCAATTGTCTCTTCAATACTTAATAAAAATTTGCGCTGAAATATTGTCTTTTAAGAAAAATTTAATAACGAAAGCAATTGAAATGTTTTTAAAACATTTATTTAAATAAAACATCAAATATTGTTATTTATTGACTAATTTAGGACATTTATAGTCATGGTCTAAGGAAGGGCCACGGGGCTTCTGACCAACAGTTCCAACCCCCCACCCCTACTTTCTGCACACACAAATTTCCCTGGATTTTTTTTTATTTTAAATACATGAAATAAATTAATAATAAATAGTTATTAAAATTCAATTTAGAAACATAATTTTTTTATAGTATAAATTTGAGAAACAATTTATTTGCATTATTTCAAATCGCCTCTTATTTCAAAGTAAGCACTCAAAACTGAGATCTTTTCATGATTTTAAAAATCATAAATTTTAAAACAATCAATGATTTTATGGTATTATTTAGTAATTTAAGACTAATATAGCCATTGATATAATAAGGCAGACAGTGGGATTTATTTTTTTATTTTCTTTCATCCAAGGATTTGAAAAAAAGAAAGACAAATTCTAAATGCAAAATAAGTTAATAAAATTACAAAAAAATTATTTTAAATGTATTTAATTTTCTTTTTGTAACCAACTGCTTATATTCTCCAAATCTAAATCAGATATGTTACAACCTGATGTTGTTGTGGGAAATTAGGCATATAGCTTTAGAATTGAGCACTCAACACTTGTCATTTCTCATTGGCCAAAAGAAGTTTTTACCTGGTTCATGTGGATAAATGGATGCATGAACCTGACTTTTATATCAAGCTCACTCACATCTTCAGCAATCACTAGCCACCAAAATCTGTCATAAAAACATGCAATATAATCCATTTTTTTAATGTTTAATGAAATCTCTTTATTATGTTTGTTTTTTGAAATGATATCAAATATTTTAATACATATATCAATACTTGTTTTTTTATAACTTATATTGTTTGAAGCAATTGGAAAAAAATGATGATACATTCTTGTGCTAGGAACTGCTCTTCCAACTAAATATCTTTTTTCTAATTGTGCTTGTGATTGGTTGATTTCATCTTTATAAAATAATTTAAAACAAATTCTTGGCTTTACAAAAGGAGTATATTAAATTAACATGTAAATTAACTGTAAAGAATATCTAAACAAAAACGATCTATTTTTAGGAGATCTTGCTAGAAATTATCAATGTTTTGTTCATGAGGATGAGGTTCAAAGTTTTGACTGGAGCAATAGTCAATGTTCACTTTTTCAATTGTATTTTATTTTATAGAGAAAAAAGCTCTCAAACATAAATCTTTTTGTTACCTTTCAGTAGATGTTGATCATGACACAGGATTGATTTACAAGACTCAGGAAGATATAACTAGAAATATCAAAAAAAATTTACTTGATGTATCAAGTATGAAATACTTTTCCAATGGTTGTGCAGCACAATTTAAAAATTTTAAAAACTTTATCAATCTTTGTCATCACAGTAAAGACTTTGATTTAAATTCTGAATGGGTATTTTACGCTACCAGTCATTGTAAATCCCCCTGTGATGGTACTGGTGGGACTGTTAAAAGAGTAGTATGACAAGAAAGTCTAAAACAAATAACTAGTGGGTAGATTTTAGATGTTAATTTAATGCACTCCTTTTATAAAGCCAAGATAAATAGAATTTGTTGTAAGTTATTTTATAAAGATGAAATCGATGCTACGATATCTCTGGAACCCATGTGTAAACCACATTTTTATATAAAATTTTTGCAGTTAATATTTTTTTAATATGGATGACAAGTGATGTAAAAGTGAACAAATTCTGAGACGTAAGGGTGTCAAAATAATTTTTTTTTGATGATTTCATATGGAATTACCCTGTGATTGTAAAAAAAAGAAAAATAATTGAAAAAGAAAAAGAAAAATAGACAATAAAAAGTGAAAAAAAAAATGTTTTTATGCAAAAATTTAAAACTGAATAAACAAGTATTGAAATAAGAAGAATTATTACAGTTCACCTTATTCACAATACTCTATGAAATACTTTAAAAATAAACAAATAACTATTGAATAATAAAGATTACTAATAAAGGATAATTTACCTTATTTGCTCTAGATCCTTTACCATATCGTACAATAACAATTTTTCCAGAACAACTAATGTTTAATTCTTTGAGCTTGTCAAAATCCTCAAGACGACCATAGTTCGCATAAACTGGTTCTGCCTATTTAAAAAAAAAAATTATTTTGGAATAAAATATGTTCTAAGCAGAAAACTGGCATAATGAGAAGAGTAAAAAACAAAATAAATTAAAAAATTTGTACAATGAAATAAGTGAAAAACAAACTAAAAGCATGCTAGTTTTGTTCATCTTCTGAATTCTGAATCCTCAGTTGCTTTGGGGATATTTTTTTTTAAATACATATTTTTCATTATTTTTTGTAAAACATAAATAATTCTACAAAGAGTTTTAGTAAAGATCAAACAAACATATGTTGGAATAAAACATGAATAGCAAGTTCAATACAGCCTGTGAAAATAAGGTCGGCATTCAACGATGTATTTATATAATCATGCACATGCTGTTTTAAGATTGAGTGAAACTAAGAAAAAACTACAAGTAATTCCAACAAATAAGAAAAAACAAGGTTTTTGTATTATTTTTTATAGACTTTTTTTTCCCTTCACACGTTTTTAAAAGGTCAGATCATTTTTTTACATAAAGTTACAAATTCATACAACAATTAAAACCACTGTAGGAGAAGTAAAATCTTATTCACCAATTAGAACACAGAAGAGGACCAGAAGAGAACACAGAAGAGGTTAGACCAGATGTAAACTGTAAACTGTTTTTTTAACAACTTGCCGTTAACAAAATCTTTGCCTATGCAAATCAGCAGTAGAACGAAACGATTAAAATCCATATTAATGATCAGAAAGTTATTAGATTCAAGAAGAGAGAATAAGTGTTTGGTAATTAAAGACTTAAAAACCTTGCTTATAAAAGGAAGAAGACTAATGGGAGAGTAGTTAGATGAGTAAGATCGCTATCCATAATTTTTGAAAATAGGGATAACAGATGCCGCTTTCCATCACGCCAGAAAACAACTGATAAGCACTTGTTCAACAAGAAGAACAAGTGCTTATCAGCTTGACTTAAAGTTGAAGAGGAATAAAAGCTTTTAAACATTTTTTCCAGAAGGAATAAAAGCTTCCAAGATGCACTTTATGCATACATATTATGAATATAAACATATCTGTTTGCTATTTATTTAGATGCAGGCATACAATATCTTTTTATTGTTATATAAACTTTAGTATTTATATGGACTAGTATTTGCCAAAAGAGAGGGAAAAAAAATGTGGAGTAGATGAGAAGCCTCATTCTGATTCACATTTTTCACCATCTTGAGCAGTTGCTTTATTAAACAATAAATATTTTTTATCTTTTTCACAAGAACATCTCTTTTAAAAACAAATGTCCTTTTATTATTGCAAAAAGCTAATGTAAAAAAATCATTTCTAATGTTAAGCTCTATTGTTATTAGCTTACTAAATCTTGTATTTTATCTCAGATGTTAGGTTACAGAGACTTTAGGTTAGTCTTCAACAGTGTCATTAATTAAAGTAAGTCTAACTCTAATTTAATCTCTAGTTCATGTGATCTTTTTACTTCTCCTTAATATAAAGCAGAGTTATTTGCAAAGAAATCTTATTCTAATTTGACTCTTGAATATAATGACCGCACTCTTCCTGACAGTTGAACAGACAAACAGATTAATATTGTTATCCCAATCACTCTGGCTTCCAATACTAAAGTTAATTCTTAATTCAACACTTCTACAGTTTGTGCTCCAAAATAGATTTCCATCATAGTCTTTAAAAAGTGTTCTCAAGAACTCTCTTCAACTATTGCCAAACTTTTATAAACTTTTATAAAGTTTTGCATTTGGCTTGCAGTGGCTTGGTGATTTTAAGTCTCGATTTAAAATCTACAACTTTTGTTAGACATTACTTTTTGTTAGACTCATTACAAATTTTGTTAGACTCATTACATTAGCCTCATTTACTGAAAAAAAATATTGCAATATTGTGCTTACATAATGATGCAAAAAAATATTGCAATATTGTGCTTACTTAATGAGCTTACCTTCTGTCATATTTTAGAAAAACTTGATGGGCCAATTTCTTCAGATGATGGTGTCAGACAGCTGGCTAAATGTTTTCTAAAGTTTATAATCTTGATAGAATTACTAAATGCCAATTCCCTTCCTGGAGCCATTAGCAAATATCATTAAGAATTTTGTTAAGCAAATGAGGATAAATAGTTTAGCCACATGGTAATTCTTAAATGCAATATTAAAGATTTTTAATACTTAAATGCAATATTAAAGATTCCTTATTCCTGAAGTAGCAGCTCTTAAATGCAGTAGATTGTTTCACAGTTGATGGCTTACTTGTGGCCTGAAATGTTTGCTTTTCTATATGAGCAAACATGATCTTAAATCTAAGAATGCAGAGATCTTTTTAGAGGCTGTTTGCAATTTGGGTGAGACAGGTTTATCTTTCAATATTTTTTGAGATTAAAGTAAATCATGACATTAAACATGGTTCTGGTCATCTTTTAAAGCTGTTTCGACTTTAGAAGAAGCAATATAATAAGATTAAAGAAGCATCTAAACTTCATCTAAAAAGTGAATCTTGGTGGGCTCATTCTGAGAATATACTTGTCGCACTTCTCTGATTTAAAACTCAAAACAAAGGTTAATTGTCGTTAACATACAATTAGCAATCAGAGCTGGATGTGAAACTGTTTCTACTGATGCATATTGATGCTACTGATGTTATATTAGATTTTTCCACGTCGCAGATAGTGAAGATAAAAAATTGGAAGAGCACAATGGTTTAGTACGTAATAATTTATGTAATTCATATATGCTAATATATATATATATATATATATATATATATATATATATATATATATATATATATATATATATATATATATATATATATATATATATATATATATATATATATATATATATATATATATATATATATATATATATATATATATATATATATATTATATATATATATATATATATATATATATATATATATATATATTAGCATATATGATACATATGATACTTTAGATATATGATACATATAATACTTTAGATATATGATACATATAATACTTTAGATATATGATACATATGATACTTCAGATATATGATACATATGATACTTTAGATATATGATACATATGATACTTTAGATATATGATACATATAATACTTCAGATATATGATACATATGATACTTTAGATATATGATACATATGATACTTCAGATATATGATACATATGATACTTCAGATATGATACATATGATACTTCAGATATATGATACATATGATACTTCAGATATATGATACATATGATACTTCAGATATATGATACATATAATACTTCAGATATATGATACATATGATACTTTAAATATATGATACATATGATACTTCAGATATATGATACATATAATACTTCAGATATATGATACATATGATACTTCAGATATATGATACATATGATACTTTAGATATATGATACATATGATACTTTAGATATATGATACATATAATACTTTAGATATATGATACATATGATACTTTAGATATATGATACATATGATACTTTAGATATATGATACATATAATACTTTAGATATATGATGCATATGATACTTCAGATATATGATACATATGATACTTCAGATATATGATACATATAATACTTCAGATATATGATACATATGATACTTCAGATATATGATACATATGATACTTTAGATATATGATACATATGATACTTTAGATATATGATACATATAATACTTTAGATATATGATACATATGATACTTCAGATATATGATACATATAATACTTCAGATATATGATACATATGATACTTTAGATATATGATACATATGATACTTCAGATATATGATACATATGATACTTCAGATATATGATACATATGATACTTCAGATATATGATACATATGATACTTCAGATATATGATACATATGATATTTCAGATATATGATACATATGATACTTCAGATATATGATACATATGATACTTCAGATATATGATACATATAATACTTCAGATATATGATACATATGATACTTTAGATATATGATACATATGATACTTCAGATATATGATACATATGATACTTCAGATATATGATACATATAATACTTCAGATATATGATACATATGATACTTTAGATATATGATACATATGATACTTCAGATATATGATACATATGATACTTCAGATATATGATACATATGATACTTCAGATATATGATACATATGATACTTCAGATATATGATACATATGATACTTCAGATATATGATACATATGATACTTCAGATATATGATACATATGATACTTTAGATATATGATACATATGATACTTTAGATATATGATACATATAATACTTTAGATATATGATACATATGATACTTCAGATATATGATACATATGATACTTTAGATATATGATACATACGATACTTCAGATATATGATACATATGATACTTCAGATATATGATACATATAATACTTTAGATATATGATACATATGATACTTTAGATATATGATACATATAATACTTTAGATATGATACATATGATACTTTAGATATATGATACATATGATACTTTAGATATATGATACATATGATACTTTAGATATATGATACATATGATACTTTAGATATATGATACATATGATACTTTAGATATATGATACATATAATACTTTAGATATATGATACATATGATACTTTAGATATATGATATATATTCATATGAATAAATAAATTTTAAAAAATATTCATCTATTAAAGATAATATAACTTTTGAAGCTTACTTCTACTGTTCCATTTGGAGAATACGCATTGAATGGAGGAACCATACCAGAAATACTTTCCTTAATGATATTAGTTTTATAAAGTTGTTTTCCAGATAAATCCATGATAGACACAGCATTTTCTTTTTCTTCAGATGGAAAAGACAGCAAAACACTGTACGAGACCTTTTCAGCTTTAAAACCGTAACTTTTGAACCTATTGAAAATCTCATCTGCCAGCAAGTTGTTTTGTTCAAAAGAAGCCATGTGTGGCTTTGATGCAAAGAATCTAGATGTTTCAAAGCTAACTTTTTAGCAACAGAACAATAAAAAACATTTAAATCATTCAAAGAAAAGCACTACCTTAAATTCTCTTGAAGTTTTATTCGATCTAATGATGCAACAATACTTTGTTGTATTTTATCTTGATTAGTAAGCATTTGACTGACCATATTTGACTGACAAATTGTAGTAGCCTTACGAACTACATAACCAAGAAGAAAAGCAACAAAGATAATAAAAAGAGCTACGATAACAAAAACTATTTTTTTTATTGGAATCTTTTTCTTCTTGTTATTCTCTTCTAATGATTTAAATTGATCCATTTTTTATTTTTTTTACTAAAACTTTAAAAAATTCACTTTAAATAACCTAATAAAAAAATATGTTAAAAATAATATTTTACAAGTTCTCAAAAAACAAATTAAACTTCAGACTTTTTTATCTACTGAGAAAACTTTATGTATAAAATAATTTCATTTTTTTTTTTAATTTAAGATAAAATGTCATTTTCAACTAATATTTCATTTTTAAATGACATTTCAAGAAATAAAAAAAATAATAATTTTGTATATTAAACATATAAATTTGATAAATTTTGTTCTTTATAAATCTCCTTTTAGAAACTTCTTTAAAAAATGTACAATTTAGGTTTCAGGTCTTTTTAAGGACTAATAATATAACAGTTATCAGTTAAAAACAGACAAATAAAAAAGTAATTCTAAAAAATTATCTTTTTCCTTTTTCATCTTTTGTGATTTAAATGCTCAATTTAAATCACAAATTCTGCTATTGCTTATTAAAGTATTAGCTGCAATGACTTTACAGTCATCCAATGAAATTTGTATTAAAAGTATTTTAAAAAATTAATTTAGGTCGCACCTCTCCTTTTTTTCTTTTTTATCAAATTCTTTTTCAAACTTATCTTCTTCATCAGAATTAGATTCACCTAAAACTGAATGAAGTGCTGTGAATGATTCAGTGATTCGGTTTTTCTTATTTTTAATTACATATTGTTATATTTTTGGCATCTCTTTTATAAGTTTTTTTCTGCTATTGCTTCTTAAAGTAATAGCTGCTATTCACTTCTTACAGTATTCTACATCTAGAATCAATAGTAACTGCAGCTAGAAATATATTAGGAATTTCTTAATTTCTTCACAAACCAGACCTTTGACAAAAGTTGGGTATGTTTCTAGTAAACAACTGGGTTTGATATTTAACCGAGGCCGGGACCATGTTTGATAATATATAGCCGGGGCCGTGAACAGGACTGTATAAACAATTATACATCTTAAAGTATTTATTTTTTATTCAAAATTCATGTTGTATTTTGTATATATATGCACAGGGCTCAATTTAACAGTCGGAAATCACCTCCCCTCGAAATATTTTTGATACCTACTAGAGGAGGGCAACAAACCATAATTTGCTTGTCCCCATAAATCAGATCTTTAAAGCTGTCCAGAGGGCGGCAATGCCCAACCATTAAATTGAGCCCTGTATGCATATATAAACATCATTATGACCAACATGATCATCATAATCATTATTACTATTATGATCATGATCAAGATCATCATAATCATCATCATCATCATCATTGTCGTCGTCATCGTCAGGCTTTAGCTTTCCTCTTTTATGCTGTTTCTCTAATATAACAATCATTTTCTTTCTTTAACTGACCCTCATTCATACAATATATAAGGAACTCTCTTTAAGTTTTTTTACGTCTACCAATTCCATTTTCTCCTGAAGCTTTTACCTCTCTCATGCTAATACCTAAATTACTTTGTCGTCTCTAACAAACATTGTCCAATAAGACACTTTTTTCCAATCTGTCCAAGACTATGCCTCAATTTCTTGTTGTGTTAGAGTCACACCACACATTCATCTGATCATCTTTTGTTTTGGACTACACTATATAAATACTAAAGTTTATATAAATATGAAAGGATATTGTTTGCCAGCATCTAAATAAATAGCAAAAAAATATATTTATACCGATATGTATGCATAAAGCGCATCTTGGAAGCTTTTATTCTTTTTCTTTAATTTCAAGTCAAGCATTCTATTCTGCATTTTTTACAATCTTGAGCAGTTGAGCAGTAATTTTTTTTTTTTTTTTTCATATTTTTTACAAGAACATCACTCAAAAACTAATGTACTTTTATTATTCTAAGGAGCCAATTTAAAAAGGTCCTGTCTGATGATAACCTCTTTTGTTTTAAGTTTACTAAACCTTGTTTCTTATCTCAGATGTTAGGACCTAGAGACTTTTGGCAAGTCTTCAAAAGTGTCAGTAACCAAAATAAGTCTAACATTTAATATCTAACTCATGGGTCTGACTTTTCACTTCTCCCCAGAATAAGGTAGAGTTTTTTGCAAAAAAATCTTACTTGAATTTTACTCTTGAATCCAATGGCCACACTCTTCCTCCCATTTAAACAGATTAACCCATTGTTAAACATTAAAATCATTATGGTTTCTAATGCTAATGTTAGTTCTTAAATGAAAACTTCTACAGTTTGTACTCCAGATAAGATTTTCATCATAGTCTTAAAAAATATTCTCAAGAATTCTCTTCAATTATTGCAAAACTTTTAAAAAGTGCTAAATAAGTGGTTCCAATTTTTCAAAACTCTAGAAAACACTTTGACCTCTCCAACTATCCTACGATTGTTATTAGTTTATTTATATAAAGTTTATGAGATTAATAAACTATTTCTTTCTAACTGTGGAGTTAAAGTTATTCTTGAAGACCTACACTCTACTTTATTTCAAGTAACTTTAAGGGTAATACAAAGTTCTTTTTTTTTGCTCCTGTAATGTTTCTTATTTTCAATAACAATCTTCATAAAAATTTTTCTTCTAAAGTGCCTTTATTATTTGACAACTCAACTTTATACTCTTGTTTGGACAAGAAACAAGATTTTTTCCTAGCCGCGGCTATCAACCCCTGTTAAATCCCAGGCAAATACTCCTCATATTCTTCATCCTGTATAGCTTCATCTAAAAAATTTTATTCATCTGAATTTTTATTTAAAAGTGTATTGTCCTAATTGTTATAAAGTAACTTATCATATTACAAAAAACAAATTGATCAAAATTAATTCCAAGCACTTTTTTTTGAATGAATGAAAAAACAACTTTATATACATCAGCTCAAGTATAATTTTTAAAACATTAAATTTTTCAGTGCTTTAGAGTGAGCATCAAACATTAACAGTCAATCAATACATACAATATAAATATCAAAATGCTTTATTTAGAGATCATAAAACTTTAAATAACATTATTAATTACAGTTTAATTCAATTATAAATCTCGCTCCCTAACCAGCTCCACCTGGAAATGATTCAGCTCCAGCATTGGCTATGCCCTAGTAAAATACCAGCTCCAGATAGCTCTGGCTCCAGCTCCAGCTCTGAAGCAGCTCCAAAATCCTGTTTTTTATATAATCTTTGGCAACATTAATTAGATTGTTCTTACTGTTCCCATTTTCAACAAATATATTTATTAGAAAATCAATTTTTTGTTAAAGGTATTTTTTAGAGCATATTCATTTTGCACAACAAAAAAACTGTTTGAATACTCCAGTGATAATACTAGGATATATGTTAAAGTTAAATCAACTTAAACAATTCAACCTAGTATATATATATATATATATATATATATATATATATATATATATATATATATATATATATATATATATATATATATATATATATATATATATATATATATATATATATATATATGTATATATATATATATATATAATTATATATATATATATATATATATATATATATATATATTATATATATATATCGACTGACAAATAGCCTGACTCGCAGTGGAGTGCTGCTACATCGACTGAGGGTTTGGTATGGGTCAGCAACCTTTTCATTCATTATTCTTCGTTTTCCCTCATCGTTTTCTAAAAAAACCCTCACTTAATTTAGTCTAGCAAAAAAAGTGAGCAATTGCGCATATAAATATGCTATAGTAGATATATATAAATTTGTGGGCTTCATATTCAGAATTAAAGACTACAATATTATCATCCACATATTGTTACATACGCATAAAAAAATTGTTACATCTGCATACAAATTTTGTACAGAAGAGGTTAACAATTAACTCATGCTTGCTCATGAAATACAATGAAAATATTAGCTAAGATTTAAAAGAGAACCAATTGCATCATTATCTGTTTGATTGAAATATTACACAAACATTTGTATTTTACTTGTATTATTACTTTGTAATAGAAAGCAAAAAAATGAAGAAAGTATAAAAATTAAATGTAGATGACAGGTTGTTCAAGAAGTTTACATAATTTAACAATTTTGGAAAAAACTTATCAAAAAATATTTAAATTATGTAAATTGGTTTAGCTTTTAAACTGTTTACTTTAACTTATCTGCTATTAAGCTGTCTGCATTAAAAAAAATTTTACTTTTGTTTTGATAATCTTCAATAATTTACTGGAGATTAACATAAAAATGTAAAAAATTATCCAAATTCAGACTGTATGTTATGGAGTAAATGGCTCCAAACAAACAAACAGTTTAAAAGATAGGCCAGTTCACATAATTTAAGTATTTTAAAACATTTAAAAATTCTAAAGATTTATAAGTCTGCTAAACACTTTCAAGTTTTTAGAATTTTAAAGTGTTTATATTATGTTTTTTTAAAACACTTAAAAATGCTTAACATTTTAAAGTGTTTATACTATTTATGTTTTTGAAAGCATTTAAAAATGTTTAAAAGTTTTTACATTCAATAAAATTTAAAAATTTAATAACTCTAAAGAATTTAAAATTTTATTAAAAATAATATTTCAGTATTTAAAAACATTTTTAATTTCTAAAGAATGAGAAGTCTTCTAAACACATTTTATTCTTATTTATACTTTAAACATAAATTTTTAAACCTAATAAAATTTATACATTCTAATAAATTTTATTAGGTTTTAAAGTTTTTTAATTTTATTTATAATTTTTAATTATAATTATATTATAATGATTAATAATAACAATAATATAAAATCATAAAATTCTAAACAATTTCAAAACTTTTAGATTTAATTAGAATGCAAAAACTTTGCAGATTTTAATTAGAATGTAAAGACCAACTTGAAGTTTAGGTGAGTCTTACAAAAAAAAGTACAAAAAAATGAGAATACACATGGACAATATAATTGTTTCCAATAACATGTTCTGAAAAAAAACTAGTTTTTTACTGAATTAAGGGGGTGTCTAATCAGTCTTAAATTTAATATTTTAAACAAACTCAGTTTTTAATTTAATTATTGGAAATTTTGTATAATGCATAAATAAGTATAAACAAAT